GAATTTCTTCCCCAGATGGAGGAGGGGCCGTGTGTGTCTCGCATACCTCAGCGGTTGGTTGGTTCCTGGGCTGTATCACATTTCACAGTAGAAGGGGGAGACGCGGTGGTTGGAATGGAGCACTGGGTTTGTTGCTCCGAGAGCTGGCTGTACGCAGGTATCACGGTCCAACCCAGGCCATGTAGAATATTACATACACAATGGCGCGTAGCAATCTACGTATGCTGTTGAGCGGATGCCTGAGACCTTTCACCTCGTCGCGGTGGGGAGCAGAACGTCCCCTCTGCCCAATGGGCTCTTGGAAGGTGAAGGCGAGAAGGTATGTAGCGAAGGTTCGGTCAACAAGATCTACCTACGCATTGACTTGGGCGGTCAAGCTGCTTGGCTGTCGGTACCGGACTGGCTTGGAGGCCACGGACCCTGCGCATAGAGCAGAAGGCGACTTCTGTACCGTTCTCCCCCTTTTCCACCATTGTTCACCTGCCTTGGCATACGGGCAGACCGAAACGCCCAAAGGGGACATGTGCGCGCAGTTAAGCTGGCTCTGGCAGGAGATTGGTCGGGATGGAGATGGGAAGTCCAAGGCTAGGGGAGCCTTGTCCATCTCGTCACCTAGGTAGTGCTTCACGTTGATTGATTGCTCGGACGCGGGTGGAGGCTTTCGTCTCGGCCCAACTCCCCAGACCATGGCGATGGCTCACGATGGCTCAGCAGGATGTGTGCTGGGTCCGGTGAGATCCGGCGACGGGATAGCGAGTGAGCAGGGCGAGAAAGATCAGCTCGCGCATCTCGCTGCATTCGTCCATCCTTGCATACATATGTAGCTGGTGGTGCAGCACCACCTGGTGTAGCTTTGCCCCGTCCCCTACCATGCCATCCACTTTTTTTTGTCCTTCAGTCTTTTCACCTCTCTTCCCGCCTTTCCTCCTCGTCGTCGTCCGGGGCTTGCCGCTCGGGACAGGTCAGGTGAGGCGTGCCAGGTGTGGTGAGGATGGTCAGTCCCGCAAGCGGAAGTAAGTGAAGTCAAGCAAGTGGGCTCCCGCCGCGCTGGTTCCGTGCATCACGTCCCCTTCACTGCCTACGTGGGAAAGGGACAGGGGGGAGCAAGCAAGCAGCAGCCCAGGCCGGGGCTCTGCATGGCGATGGGGCTGACTTGCAGGGTGCAGTAGCTAAACGGACGGATGCAAAGCAGTCGGCCGATGCTGTGGCCGACGGGAGGCGAAATACCTGCAGTGCATTGCAGCGTCACCAGCCGCGAAGTCCCCCCGTCCGTCATCCAGTCAGCCAAGCTATCATGGGCCATCCGGACCGTCTCGAGAGAAAAAAAAAAAAAGAAGAAGACGTGGCCCCCGCTAATCAACCGACCATCTGTCGTGCGACTACACGAACCAACCGTAAGCGTTACTTGATGCATGGCGTTGCTTGATGCACGCCGACGAAACGGCCGATGCTGGCTTCCAAGATAGGACGATATCTACATCAGTAGCACTCAGATGAGCAGAGCTGACGGTGATATTTCCCTGATCGTCTGTCAGTGCATCCAGTTGGTCAGCCACAACCGCAGCAGCTGCCTCGGCTGCTGATCCACGGCAAGGCGATTGAGTCTATCTATGTTACGAATGGTTCGCCCATCAGCCTGGCCCAGCACGTCATAGTATATTGTAAATGGCCTTGGCTGCTCTATAAACTCAATGCCTACGTAACTACGCACAGTACAGATGTGTTCGTCGGGCACAATCGACTAGTAGACGACGTCTTGCGGCCGCGTCTCCCGCGCGCACATGCCAACCTGTTCGTTGATGTCCGGGCTGGGCAGACTTCTTGGCTCGACTACATGTACGGTGGCGATGGTGGTGTTGGCGGCAGAGGCTGCAGACATACATTAGCCCTTACACATCCGGCAGTTGCGGCATGTGCAAGAGGCCGAATCAGTACACAACTTACATCCATTACATACGAGTACGGATTAAGGTTGGGCAATAGGTAGGCCTCAGCCAAGCTAGTTTTTTTTTCGTGTGCGTGTGTGCGAGAGCTTTCAGGCTGGAAGCTCTATTCGCTGAGAGAGTGATAGCTAACAGGGTAATTTCTCAACCACGACCAATAGATCCCAATGCCGGACATTTCTCTCAGCAGCTAGACGTAGATGCTAGCTAATTCGTATCGGCGAACCGCGCAATAGAGACACGCCCAGACGGACAAGAGAGATATCGCCGTGGTTGCGGACAATGGCAGCAACATCTTGTCATCGTGACAGTGGTCCACTCTCTCTTTTCTTTTTTGTCTCCTCATCCTCATCCTGGTTTTCTCTTTTTTTTCTCCTTAAAAAGTGGAATGATCAAGTGACTGTGATGGTTACCGGGTTATCCCTCCCCATAACCGCCCGTGTGTCAAGTCGATCCAATGGTTGGGGAAAAAGAGGATGCTGAGGAAAAAGAAAAGAAGCCGAGCGAGAGGGAAAGTGGCAGCGGGCGCTGTGATTGGTCGCTGGGCAGACGAGGATGCTCGGTTAAAAGTAGAAAAGGGCCCCATTCTCGGCAGCCGTTTGCGAAATGTGTTGGTTCTTGGTCCCAGTGTCACGGAACTCTGGGTCCATCGGGCAGGGCAGGGCAGGGCAGGCGGCCAGCTGGCAGGCCACGATCGACTGCTAGAGTCAAACGCTGGGATGGATCCATTACATGTATGTACTAAGCTGTATGTAGGTTGATTTGCGCATTCGACTCGGAATAATCCCAGCTTAGCACCTACCGCACATTGTGCTACAGGCCATAGGCACCTGTACTGCAGGCAGATACAGCGTCGGCAGGGACAGCCGGTGCTGAGCTTAGCGCCCTGGCAGCTCTCGGAGGCCCCCATAATTCTGCCCCGGCGATAGAGCCATCAAACGCCGGTACCAAGCGACCGCCCGCCCTCCGCCAGAACCCCAAAGCAGGGACCCGACCTTCCACATTGACATGGAGGCCTGGAGCCAGCGCCGCACAGCTGGACTCTATCTCATTCACCGCCCCTGCTGGCCCTTCGATGTTGAGATCGGGTGGTTCTGGGGTCTGCCTGGGCTCATCGACCGCTGGGCGTGGCAGCCAGATTCACCCATCCAATGCTACCCGCTGTCTCGCTTTCCTTGGGTGACATATCTGAATCTGATCCATAATATGTCTCCGGTTTTTGGGCTGATTTTTTCTTTTCTTTTTTCTCCTCCTATCCCTACGCCAGGGCATCTTGCTCTCCTAATTCGCCGTCCTGTGGAAGCAGCCGCCGTTCCAATATTGCTGTCATCCTCTAGCTCATGCGCCGGCAATTGGGGTCGGAGATGCCAGACCAGAGGGCAGACACCGAAACCAACCCTCTGGCTCCAGGGACCACCCAGTCACTGACCGTCTCTGCTAGCGTCCATGGACTCATAGATACACGTAGGTATGTTCAAGGGTCCTGCTCCCGTGGGTCCGCCGGCTCGTCTGTCTTTGAAGATCTCCAAACTCTGTGCTGCCCACGCCAGCCGTACGTGGCATCCTCAACTGGGAAAACATACCTCCCCAACTCGCATACATACTTTGTGCCGCGTACATACATACGGCCGTCCCATAGCTCCGCCGCCGCCGCCGCATTCATCGCCTCCAGGCCCGTCGAGCGAGCGAGCGCATCAACTCTGCAAGACGCACGCACCCTGGCAATCCCCGTTCCCCGGAACCACGGTAGATCATACGTAGTGAGGTCTGGATCCCTGCCCTGCCCTATCCACGCACACATGCGCTACGTGCTATGTTGTGCTCTGTCGGTTGGAGGCATGAGGGCGGCTCTCCAGGCCGGGGCGTGTCTCTAGAAAGCACGTTCAGGCACAGGGGAAGCCAAAGTAAAATAAGATGTAGCTGCTGGTGTGTGGGACAAGTGACTGAGCGGGTGGATCGTGGCCAGTCACACAGCACTCCCGCCTGTCTGTCTGCTGTCCCTCTGTCGTATCTGGCCCTTCATTGGCGGTGCTCAGAAACCAGATTAACGTGGGAGAGTAAGTAGGTCAGAAATGCCTGGGACAGATCGACGCCCGCACCCGGCACATGTCCGTATCTTCTCCATCTTTCGCGAGTCGGTCTGGCTGCCACCACCGTCGGACCGTCCAGTCGTGTGCAAAGTCAAACCGAGGAAAAAGTAAAGCCTGGACTAAGGCAATATCGGGCTTCTCTTATTGCCCCTCATCCATCAATCACTGCTGCCTCTGCGCTTGTTCTCTCCTCTCCCCCAGTTATTGACGGACGGATCCTTGCAGGCAAGCAATGGCTTCTTCGGCCGAGGGCATTCGAGACATTCCAATACGTCCTTGACCGGTGATAGAATAACCCTTGCTACGTATGACATTACCTACATTCGCACACACACACACACACATACATACACATACATTACATACACGCACATCCTGCCGCCGGCCTGCCACTCAATCTCGACCCGCCTGGTCCTCATCTCCGCCCTGTCCCCTTCTTTTCTTCTTTCACGGCCCAACGAATCTTCCAACCAACCATCTGTGCTACATCGACCTAGCTGTCTATACCGTCCATTATATTACCTACCTCGCAATATCCTGCCCGGCGCAGAATCTCATGTAAGATCCCCCCATTGCCCATTTCACCCACGCCGCACGTCCATGGACATATATACACAGACGCCCAGCCCTCTTTCACCACGACCAAGCACCAACACTACTCTATCTATTTCCCTCTGCGGCTCCTGTGCTTCTGCCAAACGGCCCTTTCGTGTCTGCACGACCAACAGCGTCAAGAACCACAGTCCTCTTGCTCCATCCTGCCTCCTACCCATCCTACTCCTACCCATCCTCACCTCCAATCACCCCATTCTTATCCCACCACCTTCCTGCGTGTGTTTCCTCCATCGGCCTATCTCCCTTGTCCTCCTGCCCTCTAGCCGCCGGTCAGCTCTGCTACCTGCGTCATATGTGCATACGTCTATCCGTACACCCGCCACATAGCGCTATCCGCTCACCTATTTAAACCATGGGGCAGCCCTCGAACTCTTCTTCGCAAACAACACAAACCTCTGAAAAGTCCATCCCGTCCTTGAGCCGGTGTATGTTTCTCCTACTACAGTTCGGCCATGTATAGATGTTATCATAGAAGGTGCTAACATGAAAACCAGCAACCCAGCAACCAAGCATAGACCGAAAGAAGCGCCACTCCAGCAGATCCTCCCGCTCCAAACGCTCCTCGTGGCACCTCACAGCCGAAGCCCAACTCCAGCAGCACCTCGAGAGACTCGCCTACCCAGAAGCCGCCGCCATGGCCCGCTCCGAAGACGTCAGCAGCACCGGATCCTCCTCCCCCCCTCGCCAGTACGAGTCCAGCCCGGCCCCCTCGTCCGCGCCCAGCGAGCCCTCCAGCATCGACTCCCGAGCCACCTCGTCCACCTCCACCACCATGTCTTCAGCCGGGGGCGGAGTGCTCCACGATGGCAATTGCCACTTTGCCTACTCGGCTGAGCTGCGGATGGTGGACACCCTTGTGTCTCTTTTGGCCCAGAACGCACGCGGACAGTCGTCCTCCTCCTCCTCGAGACAGCCATGAGCGAAGAGATGCCCAATTGTCAAGCCGTCGTCTCTCCTCATATTGCTCTTTTCTTTTCTTCTCCGTCACTTATTGTTTTCTTTCTCTATTCTATCTTTGCAGGCGTAAGGATGCCAATATCATGGGCTGGGCAGGCTACTTTGAATCAGATTGTTTGGGTTTACGGCGGAATATCTTTAGCGAGCGCGAGCATCATGTGGTTTCCCGGTTCCGTATTGGGAGAGGGGGACCTTTGCCTAGAATAACACACAAACAAAGATCATCTTCAGCCAAAACTCTACGTTCCTCTTACATTTCACGGGTTTCCTGAGATGCCAGTTGTGTCCTGATTATCCTGAAGACCAGCTGAGCCCCCCCTCACTCAACGCAACGCAGAAAGATTCAGCTACGACTTGTTCCCCCTCCCCACCAGCCCTCTTGACACGAAACACCACATGTCTTCCCTATCGTAGCCAGCGACGCGGGGGGTGGGAGTCGCTTGATTCGCCAGATCAACCGGGCGGGGAACATGGGGCGGATCGGGTGCGTAGGGTTACGACCAAGAGCAGCAGGGCAGGCCACAGCCCCAATTCTGCAGCCATGGTCGTAATTAAGGCCGAGGGGGACTTTCCCTCTCCAATAGTTCATGCAGTTCGGTGCTCGTACTATTACGCATTCGTGAACTGGTGCAGCAATGTCGACGGTTGGGCGGGTCTTGCCACTGGTGACAAAAGGATCGTGCAGAAGAGGATGGATGGGGAGTTATTACCAAGTTGGGGAGCCCGGTAGGCCATGATGCGAACCCTTTGCGTGAAGTTTTTAGTTCCGGAAAGGGTCGATGACGAGAGACTGAGCTTGCCCTTGGGTAGCATTCTGAACTACTGTCGAGGAAGAGGTTGGGGGGGGGGCGATTTCAACCTCGCCCGAGTTGACAACCACCTTCCCGCGTGTAAGCTGTGCCTCAGCAATGTGACATCTCTCGCGGGTTTCTCATATACCCTGTGCAAGGATTTACACGTCTCAACACCGAAGCTGTGCTCGCAATGGCCAGATATGCATGCGCCTGATGATGGTTTCCACCAGTCTGCAGGACCTTTTGGTGGCGATCTGAATAGGAAAGAGGATGATCAGGCTTCGGGCGAGCTCGTGAGAGCACGATGAGGATTGTATGACTCGGCCCAGACGCAGAGTTTGCGTCTCCAACAGCTTCCCGGAGTCTCTGCGCCTAGAGGACCTATCCTTTGTCCACGGGGCCACCTGCGCAAAAGGAAAGGAAGCCCAGTTCTCGCGAGGGAGCGCTGGGACCCGACGCCCCTATGTTGTATTAACGCCGATCCAAATGCAATATCACTCCAGCAGTTCCGCGAGCAAAAGAGTGGCCAAAAGCTGTGGCCCTTCGGCGAGGGGTGGAACCACTTGTGCGTCGGTACACCCGTCTCTGTGCGTTCACGGCCCAACGCTGCACTTGATGAAGACCTCTCGTCCGCAATCTTATGTCCGATCCTTGGGGAAGCTCAAGAGCGACGGCTCCGACCGATTGTGCCACCAACGAGCCTAACGAGGCAACCGAGAGTGCGTGGGATGGGTCTTTGCTCTTCCTATGTTCCCCGGTTCCCATCTTCAAGAACAGGGGGGAACGACTAGGGCCACCTGGCAGACTGGGTCCTGCTGGCGGCACCCTAGCTATTGATATTCAGAGAAGGGGAGAGAGGCAGCTCGCAGGATATAGGTTCCTATGAATCCCCATCTCGTTCTTGGCTCTTGGTGTGGGATGCGGACGATGATCCCTTCTAGCGTGGCCGGGGCGTCCCCCATGGCGCCGTCTAGTCTCGTCCACCTGAAGGGAACTGGACGCTGTTGGTCGATCGATCGAACCGAACCCAAGAAGCCTGGCTTAGCTTCACGAGTGAACTTATGCCAAGCCAAAAGATCTTGGGAAGAGCTGATCAAGGTCTGGATGAGAGGAGTCTTGCTCTGCCTCCGAAGTTTTGGGCCGAGCCGAAGAAGTGAATCCAACAAATAGTACTCCCTGGGCACAAGCTGCCCGAGGTTTGCTGTGCCAGGTATCCCCTTGCGTTTTTAACATATCAAATCTGCCCGAGGCATTAGGCTAAGAGTACGTACTAGGTGAGTATCACTCAAGGTCGAATATCCTCACCTTATTATCCCCCTGGTCTAGGAACCGTGACTCACACCACTCAAATAACCGAATCGTAACTCTTCTTAGGTAGCCTGCACCCACTGGACACAGATAATTTGTGTCTGCTGAATGCAGAATATCATGGTCAATCTCCAGTAAGTACATTGGGAATTAACCACGATATTCCACAATCAAGAGACACAAATTGCCCGTATCCAGTGGGTGCAGACTACCTAAGATGGGCTAGTGGTGCCCAGACCATCGCGTGCATATATGCGTGGTTTTGGAGACGCTTGCCAGCAGCTCTCTTAGCTTGGGCCGGCCCCTTCCAGCGAGTTTGTCTGCCAGCAAACAGACGAGGCAGTGGTTCCGCAAGGGGCCTGAAATCGAAGACAAGGGCGAAAAGAAGAGCAGTTAATCGTGCTCATTAGGCTGGGAGGTCACGCTGGTGCCCATGTTTTGCGTCAGGTCTTCAGGGTATGTGATGCATGAAGCAGTCAGACCAACAGTCAAAATTGACCTTGCGCCTAACTTCACCTTGCCTCACCTCTCCTCTGCCTCGGTAAGCACCACGGTGGAGAAACAGAGGCTGGTGCCTTGTCTGCTCGTGGTGTGTGGCGCATGTCGACCGATCTGAATTCAACTGTGGCTGAACGATACCGATCCACTTTTCCTCGCGAAAGCTTCACATCCTTGGCAATTGGCTAGTTTGGCGCGTTGTATCGAGAACAACTTCTGTTTTTAGTCTACCTACGCGGCGCTGGTGTGAGGAAACTGTTTCGCTGTGACTGCCACCTTGTCTAGGTCACCTCCATTGCTGATCCATCTCCCCCTGGTCCCAAACGTACCCGATCATCACCATCAGCATGTCTGAGACGGATGAGTCCTGTCCCTTTTGCAATATCGCCTCGGCTCATGCTCCCTACCCGCCCTCAGACCCCCCTTCTCCCTCGCCCTCAGTCCTGTCCCCTTCGCTCACATCCCCAGCTTCATTCGTCGTCCTGTCCACCCCGACGCTGATATCCTTCCTGGACATCATGCCCCTCAGCTTCGGCCACCTGCTCGTCTGCCCCCGGCCTCACCGTCCCAAACTGTCGGATGTCTCTCCCGGTGAAGCCAGGGAGCTGGGCGCCGCCGTCAGGATACTCTCCAAGGCCTTGATCCGGGCAACCGGCGTGGAGGACTGGAATGTCGTCCAGAATAATGGCGCTGCCGCCGCCCAAGTGGTGCCTCACACCCACTACCATCTGATCCCCCGCCCAGACATCCGGGCCAGGGGCAAGATCAGTGAGAGCTTCACCATGTTTGGCAAGGGCAGGCGAGAGGAGCTGGATGATGATGAGGCTGAGAAGCTGGCCCATTCGATCAGGGTAGAGGTGGCCCGCGTCTTGGGGGAAGAAGAAGAAACGGCGGAAGGGCTGGGGCACCACGGAGAGCCGAGAACTGATTCCCAGGCAAAGTTATAATAGACCGCTTAGGTTCTTTATTGTCTCATCACAAGCGTCATGTTTTCTGCCTCTTTACAACAACAATATTTAATACCTAAAGCGCAACACCATCTGGGAATCTAATCAATCATCAAGCCGGTTCCCTCCGTTGGTTATGAGTTCGGTCTACTCGGGGAGCAATTCTCCCTCATTCGTCATCACCAAAGAACACCTGAATAGGTAGCCATTTATCATCGCAAACCTTGAACCGATCCTCAATGGAATCGATGTCCTTAATCTCCCCGTCTGTCAGTTCCCACCCATCAAGCTCGAAATTCGCCTCGATGCGCCTCGGCGTCACACTCTTGGGAATTACGCTCCAGCCCTTCTGAAGCCCCCACATAAGAAGGACCTGCTGTGCGGTCTTCCCCTTGCTGCCGGCGATTTTGAGTAACTTGTCGTTTGTGTAGAGAGGCGAGTCGGTCGATCCGAGGCACGAATAACCAGTGCAATGGATCCCCTTGGAGAGGCAGTGGGCGACCAGCTTTGGGGACGGGTTGCAAGGGTGTAGCTCGATCTGGTTGACTGCAGGGACAACCTACCCAGACATCTCATATCAGCTTCAATGTCTCCAAGCTTCATTTCAGAACGGGGGATAGCCACGCACCTTGGTGTCCGGGCTGCTGAGCAGCTGGTCGATGTGGCCGATGCCAAAGTTAGACACTCCAATGTTGCGCACTTTCCCGGTGCCAAGCAGCTTCTCCATCTCTCTCCACGTGTCCTTGAAGTCCCAATCGCCATAGTGCCTCGTCTTGTCCTCCGGGGTTGTCGAACACGGCCAGTGCATGAGAAACAGATCCACATAGTCCGTCTGGAGATTCTCCAAGCTCGAGTCCAACCCTTCGGCGACACGCTTGTGCCACGGGTTGTTCAGCTTGGTCGTCACCCAGATGTCGCTGCGCGGGATACCAGAGGCCCTGATGCCCTGGCCAACCTCCTTCTCGTTGCCATAGGCGTGGGCAGTATCAATGTGCCGGTAGCCACTGCGCAGCGCGGTCTCGACAGCGACGGCGACCTCGGTAGGTCTCGACTGCCAGGTACCAAGGCCCACGGCTGGGATCTTGTCGCCTGTATTTAAGAGAAATCTACGACTGGAGACGGCACAGTGAGGTGTCAGCGAAACCGAGATTCAATCAGGACGTCTCCTGTCCGAGGGTTGTTGATGGAGTGCCTTACGTTGTTTGCGCGAGTGTGGCAGCCATTGCGACAGACTTCTCTCTCTGCGTGTAGTTTGGTCCCAAGAAACGAAAAGCTGGTCCTTTTTATCTTGTTCTGTTTTATTCAAGTGCAAGAGGCGAGTGATGATATCATTGAGGAGAGCGAGATCAGCCCCTCTCTCGCGTTTATCGCCCAACTCCTGCCTAAACGAAGCTCATGCAGGTCGTTCCTTCCTGGCAACCAGCTGCATCCGACCCAATTGAACCACAACATCACACAATGACGCCCGCCAGCGATGACAGTGCCACGGACTTGTTGCAACAACTTCCAGCGATTGCCCACCAGTGGAGACACGAAACACGACTTGGGCCAATCTGGGAAGATTTGACACGAGCTGCAAGCGACAAACGACAAGAATTAAGAGCAGAGACATCCCAAAAAAAAAGGATTCAGAGTGTGCAACCATTCACACGGGATGCGATACCAGACAACCAGGTCAGCGCATTATGTCTAGGTGACTGGAACAGTACGGCATGCATGTTTGGGGAGGTGAATCAGCGAATATAAGATGGAAAGTAGTCGGATGTTCTGTCTAAGTGGAAGGGAAAGAAGCTATCCTCAAAAGCTCACACGATGCCCAAGGATCTACAGCGACGGGATACGTCCAGCGTGGCCTCCTCCTTCACCTCTGCAAGGTCTACATCGCGGCATTACGCATTCTCACAGCTTCGCACCAGCATCATGCCTCCTCATCACCACCGGCAGCGACAGCCTCGGGCTTCTCGTCATCAGCTGCCGCAGCCTTGGGATCGATCTTGACGCCCTTGGCAGGCAATGGCTCGTCCTCGTCTCCATCTGCATCCTCTTCCTCTTCCTCCTCTACTTCTTCCTCTTCTTCGTCCTCTTCTTCTTCGTCATCGTCGGCCGCGGCGTTGCCATTGGTCTCTTCCTTGGACGAGGCAACGGTCTTCTGCTTCTTCGTGGGAGGTTGATCGCCTGTGTTTACAGCAGAGAAGTGTTAGCGCGCATGCAAAAACAAAATCATCGGATTGGCTTGCGCTCGCTGATGCGCGAGGGTTCGCAGGAGGCACCATATCACGGGTCGGGGAGTAGTGCGCGGTAGGGAGAGTGTGCGCAACAGGGAAGCTGGGTCTTACCCTTCACGCCATTGGAGGACTTTTTGCCGCCGTCATCCTCTTCGTCGTCTTCTTCATCGTCCTCCTCGTTCTCCTCGTCCTCTTCCTCGTCCTCTTCTGAGACTTCTTCCTCATCGGCGGTGGAGATGTACCTAGCTCGGGGAGTTAGCCTTGGCCGAGGAGGTAAGGGCTAGACTTGTTGGACAGAGCACGGCAGGTCGCGGGGCGCGCAATCGAGCGCGAAGCTCGCCACAAGCTTGCCTAGGTGCGCAACAATGGTTCGAGGGGTGAGCTGGCATAGGGGGGCAACGTACTCTTCCTCCTCCTCACCGTCGTCTTCCTCGGGGAGGGAAACGAGGTCCTCCTCGTCCACGCCTTGCTTTCTCTTGGACATGTTGAATCTGAGTTACAACGGAGGGGAGTTCAGGGTATGATGAAGTAATTGGGCGGGAAAAGGAAATACAATTATTAGGAGATGACCAAAGGGCAAGTCGAGATAGATGGGGGATCGAGAGAGTGAAGAAGGGGCCAGGCTAGATGGGAATGGAGAGAGAGTGGGAGAGGGAGCTCGGGGTCTAAGGTAGGCCAGGACGGACCATGGGGGATGGGGATGGGGACCTACGGATAGCTACGCAATAACAACCTACCTGTCTATGATGAGTAAAGCAGAGCATTGCCTCAGCTCAGCTAGAGGAAGGCGACCATCCACATTGGGAGGGGGATCGCAGAGGTTGTTGGTACATGCATTTGGGAGGATATGTTTGCGGCGATGAGGTACCACGCACGCCGGGACTACCTAGGAGCACGCTTGGGGAGGGAGAAGGCTGGCTGGTTTGGGACAGGAGGAGTACAGGAGAGTAAGCCGAGTCAAAGAGTGCCGGCGAGAGAGAAGCAGCAGCGCGGCGGGAGGGAGGGAGGGAGAGAGAGCGCGACGCAAGACACAGAGACTGGAGAAGGCTAGGCGATCGAGAGCACGAAGAGGAGGAGGGGTGGCGGGAGGGGGTGTGGGATGGAGCAAAAGCAAGCAAGCAGCAGAAGCAAGCTCATCACTCCTGAGCTCTGTTGCTCCCTTGCAGCCAGGAGACACACAGTGCACAGTATGAATTCCGGCTGCGTAAGTACCCCATAGCAGAGCAAGGTTTGGAGCTACCTGGCCATTGCCCAATCAGCTCCGGAACAGGAAGCAGTGGACCTGGCCAGGCCTCGGCGCAGTGACTCGCAGGTGTCTGGGACGATGTACCTTGGGAGGTGATGAGGTACCCTTGGACTCGAGCTCGAGGGCGAGGGCGAGGGCGAGGGAGAGACAAGATCCTGGCTTCACCCAGATATTGGGGGGGCTGGGCTGGGCTGCCCCGTGAGCGAGAGGTAGGACAAGTACCTCCAAGTATCCTCCCTCCCAAGTCCGGAGCAAGGGTACATCGGCACGTTCCAGCCCAGGGGGTCGTCGTGGGCGGGGGGCCCAAGCACGATGCTCGGGTCTGCCTTTACGTGCAGCACGCAAGCTGCATCCCGTCAGATCAAATCAGGTCTGTGCACGGCGAGAAGAGATACTAGAACCAATGCAATGGAGTGATGTAATCAGTCGCCTTCCGTGGTCGGGGGATCTGTGCGAACCTGCCTTGCTGTCTCCCTCCCTACAGCCATCTCCCAGGCGATTACTAACATCGCTGTACGCCCGCTGTGTTTCCTCCAGCAACCAGTGCACCCAGATTCATCCCCCTTTTCAGTGGCTCCGCTCCAGATGGCACACCAGAATCAGCACCACCCTCGACTCTCAGCATCCGAGACCACCGACGTAGCCTAATCTCGAGGGTATGATTTAGCCCTGCATCTTAAATCCAGCCCTGAAGGGGTAGATTTGGATCTATTCCAGGATCAGACAGCCGTGCATAGATCAATGTGACAGAGGCCAAGGACCGCTCACCTTTTCAAAGTCCCACACGTCGTGCTGGCTGTAAACATCCTTCTTCAGCCCCTCCAGCACCTCCTCCTCTGATGTGGCGCTCACCACAAACGTGCTGCCCACAAAATCGAGGCTTGACACTTGGTCGTCCTTGGGCACGCTGCGAAGCAGTGCCCCGCCCATCTTGTATTTGCCCGCCTCGATCCCGGGCTTCAGCTCCTCGAAATGGCGACTGGTCACATTGCAACGTCAATTATCACATTAGATAGCTACCTGGTAGTGGCCAATCAGCCGTCGGCCGTGTTGCGGTTTGCTGCGTACCTTCTTGCCTCTAGCCGGCGGGCTCGAGCGTCTGGTTTGTCAGGTATCACCACTAGAAAGTCGTAGGCAGATGCTCTACCTGCAATGGAGCGTCGAATTTCGTGAGTGGCCAGACGCCTTGGAGGTCCACCCAAGGTGAGGCGTCGGATGGTCTGAAAGACAGACATGTAGAATGATGATGTTGGCAGCTTCAGAGGAAGAGAATGGTGATCATCCAAGCTGGTGTCGGGTAGGTTGGAGCCAAAAAAAGACTGGAGGGTATCCCCAGCAAATCATTCGCGCCCTATTGAACCCCCTCAGTTTCAGGGCATTGCTTCTCCCCGCACTCTTCCCCGTTCTGCCGTCGCTGATGTATTTCCGATGGCTGATCGCGATGATGATGATGGCAGACACTTGCTTCCTGTCCCAAGTACATTTGTAATTGAAGAGCACCGTATCATCCTAGCGTTTCATGACTCCAAAAAATGGGCACATCAAGTGCCCTGTTCTTGTGATGCCACAGTCCATCCTGTTCCCCAATCCTACTCTCTATGACATCGAACCAGCATCAGGGTTGAATTGGCCGCTCCCCGCGGGGTGACATTGCATTTCTGTACTTCCCATTCCAGTTGAGGAGAAATCAGGCACAGTGACCATATGACTGGCTACCACGTGCATCCCGCTACACTTCCTCCCATCCTCGGGTGTGAACCAACGTCTTTCAAGCATCGCTCGACCGGCCGGACTTGGCTGCCAAAACTGTATGGCTTTTTGCCTTTCAATGCGACATCGTGGTATCCTCATGATCATATGTCGATTAGAGTGGGCATCGTATGCCGTTGCAACCTCTTCCGCCTGATCAGATGCGTCTCCCTGCCGTGGCCGGTTGGATCATAGCTGCAAAGACATAATATCCCAAAACCGCCCGTGATGATGTCCCCAGACAACCAGGTCAGACTGACTGGCCACGCAAGCTGGAAACACAGTCTTTTCGCCATGGCCTTCCCGGGCTTCCTCCCCGATTGGAGCAACCTGCAGGTGCTTCATCGCAACACCCTCCCTCCTCGCGCCCATTTCTACTCGTACCCTTCCGAGCAGGCGGCCTTGTCGTTTGACAGAGACCAGGGGAATTTCCACAGCCTCAATGGGACATGGAAGTTTCACTATGACCCTTCTCCCTTTGACGCGCCTGCTTGGGAGCTCGCCAACTTCACATCATGGGATGATATCCAGGTTCCGGGCATGTGGCAGACGCAGGGCTACGGTCACCCCCATTATACCAACTACGACTACCCATTCCCCGTGACCCCCCCGAACGTGTCTTATGTGAACCCTACTGGCTCTTACTGGCGCGAGTTTGACGTCCCAGAGGACTGGGCCGGCCAGCAGATCCGTCTCCGTTACGAAGGCGTTGACAGTGCGTTTCACGTCTGGATTAACGGGGAAGAGGTTGGCTATAGCCAAGGGAGCCGGAACCCCAGCGAGTTTGACATCACTCCCTACCTGCTCTCTTCCGGGGAGAAGAATACCATTGCAACCCGGGTCTATCAGTGGTCTGATGGTTCATACCTCGAGGACCAAGACCAGTGGTGGCTCTCTGGCATCTTCAGGGACGTGTATCTGGTCCCCTTTCCCGAGTCTGCCGTTGTAGACCTTCAAGTCAACACAGAGGTTGATAGTTCACTCACCAATGCTACGCTCAGAGTCAATGTCACCACCCAGGGCGATGCCGGCCCGTTGCAGATCAAGCTGCTGGACCCGTCTGGGAACGCCATTCACCAATGGGAAGATGCATCGACTGTGCAGTATGCACACCCCATCGAGAGTGCACAGCTTCAACTGTGGTCTGCTGAGACCCCAATCTTGTACACGCTGCTCATAACTTTTGGGGGCCAAACAATCAGCCAACGCGTTGGCTTCCGTCGCATCGAGCTCAAGGACTCCAACTTCTTGGTCAACGGAAAGGCAGTCATTCTCTACGGCGTGAACCGGCACGAGCATCATCACCTCTCGGGACGAGCCGTGCCATACCAGGCCATGCGTACTGATTTGATCCGGATGAAGAGGTCCAACATCAATGCCATCCGCACTTCTCACCAGCCCCCGCACCCCGCCTTCTTTGATCTTGCCGACGAGCTTGGCTTCTATGTCATCTCCGAGGCAGACCTCGAGTGCCACGGCTTTGGTGCGATCCCCAACTACAGTGCAGAGCAGTGGACCTCGGACAACCCAGACTGGCAGGAAGCCTACCTGGATAGAGCGATCCAGCTGGTGTACCGTCTGAGAAATCACGCTTCCATCATTATGTGGTCGTTGGGCAACGAGTGCTTCTATGGGCAGAACCATGCCGCAATGTCTAAATGGATCAAGGAGTTTGACCCAACGCGTATTTTGCATTACGAGGCCGACTACTATGCAGCCGTCGTAGACGTCTATAGCTCCATGTACACTTGGCCGGATGAAATCTTGCGACGCCTCCAGACCATGACAGATAAACCACATATTCTATGTGAATTTGCCCAGTAAGTTGACCTTGCACCAAGCCTGCCGACTCTACCCCCCATGCGGTGCTAGAATTCGTATAGAGAATCTGTGCTAACATGAAGGATTGGCAGTGCGATGGGGAACGGCCCTGGAGGTCTAGAAGAGTACATTGAACTTTTTAGGACCCAACCGCATCTGCAGGGTGGGCTCGTCTGGGAATTCAGTAATCATGGCCTTCTCAAGAAAGAGGGGAACTTGGAGTATTACGCATATGGCGGCGACTTTGGCGACGAGCCGAACAATGCTGACTTCATCATGGACGGGCTTGTGCTTTCCGACCACACTCCCATGCCGTCATTGCTTGAATACGCCAAGGTCATTCAGCCTGTTTCGGTGAAACTTACCGAAGACTTGTCGCAAATGATAATAATCAACTATTATGACTTTAATGATCTTGGTGGGCTTGATGCGTCCTGGCATCTTGTTCAAGATGGGGCCGTCACTGAGGTAAAGCCTTTGGATCTCCCTGACATCTCGGCCGGCACAAACAGCACCCTGGACCTACCGCTCGACAGGAGTAGCCTCACGACGGAGGCGTGGCTCGTAGTCGAGTTCAGGTTGAAGAAGGATACGCTTTGGGCCGAACAAGAGCACATTGTTGCCTGGGATCAGCTTCACATCCCCCCACAGCACGAGCAAGTATTGAAGGGGACAACAGCGCCTGATGATGCCCAAGTGCCTCTCGTCCCTCAACGTCCAATGAATGTAGCCCACTCAGGCACAAGGCTTCTCGTAGAAAGCGGCGACTCGGCATTCAGCTTCGACCTACTGCAAGGAAACGTGACGTGGAAAGCCAGTGGCGTTGACGTGTTCGAGCGAGGACCAGAATTGGCCTTCTACCGTGCCCTCACTCAAAACGACGTGGGCGGCTCCGGGGACAACAACGAATGGAGCCGCGCGCGGGTCGGGGAGCTCCATACGCAGGTCCGTGATGTGACATGGCAGGATGAGGACGGGATAGTGAGCGTGAACTACAAAGTCCGTGTCGCTCCTAAGGTGATTGAGTGGGCTGTCGAGGCTGATCTCACCTACACGGTCGACCCCAATGGATCCGGCCTGACACTCCGCGCCCGCGGTGAATTTGTAGGGAAGAATGCCCCATCAGTGATCCCTCGTATTGGTGTCTTGGCCGTGCTGCCAGTAGCCTTTGATGAGGTTTCGTGGTTTGGTCGCGGTCCCGGGGAGAGTTACAAGGACTCGAAGCAGGCTTCTCGCATGGGGCAGTACAGCTCTTCGGTGGACGACCTCTTCACGTACTATGACTACCCCCAGGAGAATGGCAATCGTGAAGATGTGCGCTGGCTCCGGGTCGGGGCTCCAGATGAGAGCACGACCGTCCAAGTGCGAATGAGAGACACGCCGTTCAGCTTCACGGCGCGTCGCTACATGCCGCATGATCTCAACAATGCGCAGCACCCCCACGAATTGAAGCCGCTCAACATGACTGTCTTGCACCTGGATTATGATAACAACGGTCTGGGGTCAGCCAGTGTCGGGCCACCTCCGTTTGACAAATACAGGTGCTACGCGGAGCCGTTCGATTTCACACTGGATTTCATGAAGTTGTAACCGAACAGATGCTTGATTTGCCTTACGTTTTTTTTTTAATTCGCCTTGGGGGCTTATCGGAGCATTCTGATCATCTTTCAGTGGCCCTTTTCGAGATATTCATTGGATACTTAGTCTTTTTTTGCAACACCTTGCATCCTTTCTGTAGCAGTTGATGATGAAAGCTGTAGCTCCCAGTGATGTATGGACGCCTAGTCGTGCATACGGACATAATATACGCCGGAGATCTTTTATACGGCTTTATCCTAAGCCCCAGCCACGGCCAGGTTCTGTGGTCCTTTCAAGTCACCCGTGCCTTTCTCCCCAAACATACATAAAGAGTGTTGCTTACCTACGCCAACTCTGTCATTCGTGGGTGGATCAGGATTAGGACTCGAAGGGCTAAGCTTTATGGCTATCACATGAGTAGACTAGTCGGCTTTGAAGTTCTCATTTTTACTACCCAAAGCAGAAGTCCGGGCGAGAGAGCCAACGACAAGGCGGGACAACGCATCGTGTGCCAAGACCATCGCCATTGAGTTGCGACGTGAAGAGTTCGACCCGACAAACAACTCATCACAATTATTATCACACGAAAGCCAATTAGCCGTTTATCGCCGCGGCTTCTATTGCCAACCAAAGGACATTAGGTTCATATAGGTCGTCGGTCAATCATTCTCTCGCGCGCGCTGCCTGCGTCCGGACAGTATAAATAGGGAACCAGAGAAGATGCCGTCCAGAATAGCGACGAAACAGGGCCGAATGAAGCCAGCCAAGACCCATGCTATTCCAACCCATGACCAGCAGCTGCCGAGGAGGAAAGGTGCGAAATCAACTCCTATTTTGCAAGTAAGAGAAGTGACTAACATATGCGATTTGACAGGGTGCTCCTTGTGTACCAAACGTCGGATTCGATGTGATTTGTCCGCACCCTCCTGTAAGAAATGTATCAAAAAAGGCCTTGCCTGCCCGGGATATGATTCGCGGATCCGATGGGTTGGCGGTGCTGCGATACGTGGCCATCTAAAAGGCCTTGGAGAATCTGGCCAAGTCGAGGACACTCAGCCACCACCGCCGACCAACGTCGAAATTGCCCGCATTAGGTCCCTCGGCGGATACTCCCTGGAAGAATTGGTGGAATACTACGATAAACATGTAGCCAGGATCATGGTGTGGCTGGATGGCGACGACAATGTGTATCGACGCCATGTGCTGCCCCTGGCCCATACCAACCCTGTTGTGCGTCTCGCCGTCGCCGCCATTTCCGCCCAGCATGCGGCATTCTCACGAGGCGATCCTGACGTCCCGGAAGACGCACGGAATGAAGCTGTGGCCATGATATCTCGGTATATCCACGATGTTACTTGCCAGATAGCTACCGGGGGTGGTAGACTCGTGAAAGAGGGTCTTGGCGAGGAGGCTGCAGACTGGATTTTGGCGTCCATGCTCGTTCTTTCGTGTTATGAAATGTTCCATTCGGGTGCAGCGGCTGCCGAGTTCCATCGCACTGCGGCCAAGTCCTTCGTCAATACGCTGTCAACCACGGAATGGCGCCAAAGCACGCTGTTCCTGTCACTTAGAAATAAGCTGTCCACGTATGATGTCTTTGCGTGCACAACATCATTTGATTTATCAAGCATTCGCAATGCAGTGCTTCCGGACCTGGAAAGCACAAGGATACTCCGAAATGAGACGGTTCTTTTTTTGGAATACCTGGTGCTGTTGCATGAGGTGACTCTGATATCTCGTCAGCCAACACCTCCTTCGAAACAGCAGCACATTCGAGACTGGAAAGAGGAATTTGAATTAGCTAGAGGCGCTACTTTGATGGCTGCTGGTAGGCTGAATATCCACAATGCCTCTCAGACGCGCGATCTCATCCGGCTGGTTGACATCCATCACCACGCTGCCTTGCTTTATGTGGCCGCATGTTTTGGTCAAAGCCTTGAATACGATGAGATGTCGAAGACGGCCCTTCGGGACTTTAAGGCCCAGATCGTAGCCCTGGAGAATATCAATCAATGCATCCACAACCTGCCCTGGCCTCTCTTTATATTAGGTGTGAGGAGCCATGGCCATCCGGAGAACCGGGAGCTTGTCTCCAAACTGTACAGGACAATACCGGAAATCACGGGCTGCAAGCAATACTATGACGTCCTGGAGTTTCTGCATGAGTTCTGGTCGGGAAGTGATGTTGACTGGCAGCCGTTGGCTCGAAAGTGGGAATTACGTGGAAACCGGATTCTTGCGTTTTAGCTACCCATAATGGAAGACAAGCGATAGGTATATCTCATATTCAATACTTTTCTGGGGTTGGTATGTCGAAAGAGTGTGCCTCGATGCAACACAGGCAGCCAACATTGCCTCGCCTGCAAATGTGACGATCCACCCTCCACATTTAGTTTCTCTCTCCTACTACCCAATTCGGTATTCAGAGGGAGAAAATAGATCTACCATTATCTGGGTAGCATGGAAGCCTCTCTCTTGTGGGTATATAGTTGAAGAAAGAAAAAGTAAATTGTGGTAAATCCCTAAAGGTGGCCAATTTTTATGCTCAGTCGACTTATTCTCGTCATATTCGCCGAGTCACTTCTCCAATCAACACACTCTGCTACTCATCATGACCGTGCCCGTCAGCAAGCCAGCCATCACCAGGGTCAATGCATCGGATCCTTCTACTTCTTCCAAGACACTGGTCGACATTCTCAAGCGAGACGGAGGCGTCATTGTCGAGAACTTGATTCCGCGTGAGCTGGCAGAGCAGATCAGAAAAGACTTGAAACCACACTTTGATACCGACATACCCGATAAGTACGGCTTCTTTCCTAAGACTACCAGAAGAGCGACAGGACTTCTGGGTGTATCAGATGCGTGTGTCGAGCTGGCATGCAATAAGCTCTACACTGATGTTGCCAACGCGATGTGTTCATCCAGCTACACCATGTGGAGGGACGACCACCAAGAGACTGTGAGCGGCAAGCCCATCATCTCCTCTACAGTGGGCTTCCGTGTAAATCCTGGAGGCAAGCAGCAGGTTCTTCATCGAGATGATAAGTATGACCTAGCTTCACAGTCCCCCCTCGATATGTATTTCCGCGAAACAGCCTTTGTTAACTTCATGGAAAAGTGACTATCACCCTCAAGACAAGGAGCTCCCAGTGATGATAGGGTGTGTAACAGCCCTGACAAAAACGACAAAGGAAAACGGCGCTACGATTGCCATCCCAGGATCTCACCTCTGGGGCCCCGAGCGCCGGCCACTGGACGAGGAGGCTGTCCCGGCCGAACTCGAAATTGGCGACGCTCTCATTTTTCTGGGGAATCTATACCATGCTGGAGGGGCTAACATCACGAAGTAGGTAGACCTGTTCATCTTTGTCTACACAGCTTCATCACATATGTGTATTACTTCATGCTAATCGGTTATCCAGGGACGAGTACCGGGAGACAGTGGGAATCTTCCTCTGCAAGCCCACGTTGCGGCCCGCTGAGAACTTCTTTCTAGAGATCCCCCTGGAGAGGGTGAGGCAGATGAGGCCGCAGGCTCAGCGGCTTCTGGGCTACGGCGTCCTCGAACCTGGCGTTGGGTTCATGCATTATCAAGACCCGATGAGAGTCCTCTTTGGTGTCGAGGATGAGGAAACGGTGAACATGTGATACATATCGTTTTCTCTTGAATATCTAGTCAACGAAAGAATGCGAGCATGATATATTTAGGTGACTCGGAGAGATATTGAGCTGGTAGACTTGCTACTTGTTGTGAACAAGGACCGTGACTAATAACCGCGCGCGTCATCTTACTCTTGAATCGGATCTCGTCAAATCTTATCTCACCCACCGCCTCATTGATGCATCTCCCAAGTATTTGGAGCTGGTTCCATGACTAATTACCGCGCGCGCATCTGCTTGCCTATTTCTGCCCATGTTCAAATCCTCAACTATATGTGACTAATTGCCGCGCGCGGACTAATATCGTCCCAGTTGTGCATGTATACGCGCTCATGAGGGTCATGTAGCCGTATTCAATCTTCATGGCTAGTGGCTAGACCGTCTGCTAAGTTTAGTCGAGCTTCTCATGATAATTTCATAGCTGCATCATAAGCACAAGCATGTAACGTAGGTTCTTTCTGATTTATAAGCTCAAGGACCTTTGAATAGGATAGAGCAGGCGTCAACGAGAGAGAATTTTATCGAGAGGATCATATACGATCTATAAAAACCTATAGATAACCATGCCACTTGGAACTGTTGAAACTATACATCATCAGCTCATATTGACAGCATACTCTTCTAGTTGACTCCGAAGTCTTTTCCGAATCTTAGAACAAAATGCCTGTTAACAAGGCCGCCTGGATCGATGCTAAAGGAGCCAACCTTCGAGTTGGTGACGCTCCGATGCCATCTCCAGGACCGGGAGAAATCGTCATTAGGAGCCGATCAGTTGCAATCAACCCACTAGATTGGCACATGCAGGATTGGGGCGTTTTCATCAAGGAGTGGCCATCAATTCTGGGTTGTGATGTGGCTGGAGAAGTATACCAAGTTGGTGCTGAAGTATCCAGGTTCAAACCTGGTGATCGTGTAACTGCGTAAGTTAAGCTGGAAAATTCATTACGTTAGTGCTTTGAACTTGATAACTGACTTGGAACTGTTCCACGACAATAGTCACACGATCAATCTTGTCACTGGGAAGCCTCAGGATGCCGCATTTGCCCATTATTGTGTTGCTCCTGCTGCCAAGGCATCAATCCTGCCTGATTCAATCTCTTTCGAATCTGGTGCTGTATTGCCCCTCGCACTCGAGGCAGGTATATGCGCTTTGATGCTCAGAAATCCAGGGGAGGCAATGCCCGGAGTGTCGACACCGGCTCTTGGCCTTCCACATCCCCAGCTGAACCCAACTCGCCTTGGGAAGTCAATCATTGTGTACGGCGGTTCCTCCTCCTCTGGGAGCATGGCTACGCAGCTGGCTGTGGCAAGCGGGCTCGACGTAGTTGCGATTTCCAGCCCGCAGAACTTTGAGCTGTGTCGAACCTCTGGCGCTTCTGCCGTGTTCGATTACAGGGACCCCAAGCTTGTTGAGAAGGTAGTGGAGGCTGCCACAGCACTCGGCCCTCCCGTTGGCATATTTGACGCCATCTCAACTCCGGATACCTACGTTCACGATCTGGAGATTCTCTCCCGGCTTGGAGGCGGTCATCTCGCCTGCACTCACCCTCCGCCGACGGAAAATGTCCCTGAAAACGTCAATGCAGGCATGATATTTGCCGTCAATGACATAGCCCAGACAGTCTGGGAGGAATATGTCACGCCTGCGCTGGAAGGTGGACAGTTGAAGTGCTTGCCTCAGCCAGAGGTCATTGGCCATGGGCTTGAGTTCATACAGGAGGGTTTGAACCGTAGTAAGGCTGGGGTTAGTGGAAGAAAACTCGTCATCACGCTCTAATCTCGGGAGTGTACTGTCTTGTTTGAATAGGATTGATCGATATCTCATGGCTGTTTACCCATTCTGTTTTCTTCATTCCTTGAAGCTGAAATATTTGTCGCAAGGTGCTGAAGGAACCCCAATATCTCTCGGCTATCAAATATCAGCATGTATTTATCACTCATGGACTGGTCTTTGATAATCTCAAACAAACCCATATGCAGCATCGACCAACTACTTTGCAAGAATTCTTCGTCAGAAACTTACTATGATGGATCATGTCTGAAACTATGCCCAGGGGCACTTTCGCACTGATAACAGAGCGGTCTCGGCTTACCCAACTTGTCCATTTCCCGTGATCGACTGGCCGACCCTCTTTTGCTTATCATCACAGCCATTTATTTATTCATGCATGCTGGTGGTTGGTTGTGGAGTGAACGAGCGTCAATCTACGGAACCCGTGGGTCCACGATTGCGCTTTTATTCGCCCAGGCGGTGATACTAGACAAGGTCGTTATCCATTTAATCCTCCATCGTTGCATAAGAAAAGATTTGTTCAGCCATGTGGGTTGAAGGTCCGTGCCATGACATCACTTGCGGATGGTGAAATAAGGAGGTGTGAAGGAGTGATCACAAAACAGTCTCTACCGCCTTTCCTTGCCTGCTTCTTCGCTCTTCAACGCCCTCTCCGTTCACGAACCGAACCAAGCCCGTGAAGGCAAACACCATAGAATGGACACCGACGATCCCAGTCAGCCGCTTCTGTCCCAACAACGTCGCCGCACCAGCACGTTCCAATTGCCGTCGTGGTCGATCGGAGCCCCCCTCGTCAAGACAGCATCTGTCAATGAAGTCCATCCGCACCATGACGAGGTCGAGCCTGTCTTGCCAGCGGCTCCCGTTGCTGCAACTCACGAGACTCGCCTGCACAAGCCCAACTGGGCTCTGAGCGATGAGCCACCAAATGCCTGGGCCCAATTCCGCCATGCTTGGCGTGAGGAATTTGCGTGCGTCGCCAATTCTCCTCAATCCGTAACAGGACTAACGATATAATAGAGAATTCTGGGGGACATTCTTGATCCTGCTCTTTGGAGCCGGTGTTGAGTGCCAGGTGCGACTAAACTACCACTCATCCGACATTCGAGGCAACGCCGGTGACTTTCTGCAATGCCGTCTCGCTTGGGCCGCCGGAGTAGCCCTTGCTGTCTGGATGGCCGGCGGTGTATCTGGAGGGCATTGCAACCCAACTGTTACTCTCGCCCTCGCCCTGTTCCGTGGTTTTCCCCTACGCAAGGTGCCTAGTTTCATCATCGCCCAAGTAGCTGGCGCGACCGCCGGCAGTCTGGCCGTCTATTTCAACTACGTGACAAGCATCTCCGAATATGAGGGCGGCTCTGACGTCCGCACCATCACCGGCCCGCATGCCACAGCCGGTCTATTCTTCACTCTCCCTGCACCGCATCTGCCGTACCTCGGGGCCTTCTATACCGAAGTCCTAGCATCAGCAACATTGGTGGCCGTTGTCTTTGCCCTTGCGGACAAGAGCAACCTTGCACCACCCAAGGGAACACAGCCGTTTGCCATGTTCCTGACACTCCTCGCCATAGGCTCGGCACTGGGGATCAACACAGGCTACGCCATGAACGGGGCACGAGACACGGGACCGCGTATCGCCTTGGCCATGGTTGGATATGGACGTGAGGTATTTACACACCATCACCTGTACTGGCTTTGGGCCCCATGGGTCGGCGCCATTGTGGGCGGACTCATAGGTGCATGCGTCTATGACGGTTTCTTGTACACTGGGAGAGACTCGCCGTTTAACGTGCCCAAGAAATCCGACTGACCATACCACTTGCGCTCGCGGGCGTTGGGTGAGCGAATTCTGAAGGCGTCCCTATGGATTCATGTGATTGCTTTTACCACTCATTCGCGAGATAGAATATGATAGATATTAGAGTATTTAAGGCAAGAATATTTAACGCGTCGCTTCGTGTATATGGCTGTGTCTAATAGGTTAATGTAAACAACTCATCTACTGCCAAGCCAATAACTGTATGACTCAGAGAGATGTCCCATGGCTGTATCCACCATCACAAACTAAAAAGCAGTTGTCAGGGTATTGGCATGGTATCTGAGCCGCTAATTTCTTACTGGATTGGTTGCATAAATGGTGTTGAGCAAATAGGTTGCAAGAACTTCCCATATCATGATGTGGTAGAAAGTACGTAGTTGATTTGGATAACCACACAAAGCATGACAAGCAATCTGTTCACAACTTCACAGTAGAAAGGGAATGTATAAAGCTATTCATTGTCCTTGAGTGATTGATCCACTCGAATCTCACATTGCCTCATAAGCCTATAGGACGTATTCACACCTGGGTACATCCAGCAAAGAGCGATGCTTGCCCCTGGGGGTGACATCTCAAACCACGCTTCCCACCGCATACAGTGATGGCCGATTGCGGAGATAACTTATGAAGGTATAGAAGCTTGTCATTATTCTTTAATTACCTATTGTAGTGCATCATAGATGCTTATTTTAGTCACCGGGGGATAAGCTTACCGCCGGGTTATCCCCAGGCTAATAACAACCTGTGCATATGCAAGCTCCCGAGGTCGCAATTGAGTCATGGCCGTTTCCATGTTATTGTTAATAGTAGTAGCTATAAGTGCCATTTCTTGACCAATATTGAGGATGCAATACTGGCAATGTGTCACGTTATCCCGTCTATTGAGTAGTTCCCACCGCAAACAACAAAATGCTTCACCGTGGCGCCATCATACGCCGGGCTTCAAAGTTTCGGGCTCTGAGTCCCAGCCAGCTACGCTACGCCAACAGCCTGGCTTCCTATCAGAAGACCCATGGATCCGACCCTAGAACGTCCCTAGGAGCTTCGTAAGTTTTCATTCTCGATGCAGCGAAGCAGGCCTTCACTAGCTGTCTCCATTGTTGCCGTGTCCCTTTTGAGAGCATTCTAAAGTCTCGAATAAATCTAACTTGTACATGTTGAATAGCATTGGAACAAAGCAAACTATAAGTTTGGCTACCTCTGGTGCACAAAAGCCATCATGGGAACTGGCGCGTGCTAAGATAGAGAGCGAGTATGACGATTCGTAAGTCAAATCAAACTCCTCGAACCAGTCGACAGTGCTGACAGAGTACAAAGAATGGTTGGGTTGAAGGGGGGCCAAATATTTCACGAGATGATGAAACGACATGGCGTGAAACATATATGTGAGTTGGATCCCCTACCACGTCACCACGGCCAACTGACCCAGAATAGTTGGATACCCTGGGGGTGCCATTCTTCCGGTTTTTGATGCCATTTACGAGTCAAGCCACTTTGATTTCATTCTACCCAAACACGAACAAGGTGCTGGGCATATGGCACAGGGATATGCGCGGGCTACCGGAAAACCAGGCGTCGTACTTGTTACGTCTGGCCCTGGGGTGACGAACATGGTAACACCCATGCAGGACGCTCTATCCGACGGCACTCCGATCGTAGTCTTCTGCGGCCAGGTTCCTACAAGGGCCATTGGCACTGACGCGTTCCAGGAATCTGATGCCGTGGGGATCTGCGGGGCCTGTTCGAAATGGGCTGTGACGGTCAATTCCATTGACGAGCTTCCCCAGCGCATCACTGAAGCTTTCGATATTGCCACGTCAGGTAGGCCCGGCCCGGTTCTGGTCTCCTTACCAAGTGACGTTACGGCAAGTACGCTTCAAAGACCCATCTCTACAAAATCCATGCTGCCATCTCGTCGTCGTGTCGAATCTCGTGCTAGAGCGACCGACATTCAGAGCAAAGAACTTGAAGAAACTCTCAACCGGGTAGCAAGGCTGGTTAATCTAGCTCGCAAGCCTGTTATATATGCTGGACAAGGAATCATTCTACCCGAGAATGGCCCAGAGTTACTCAAGGAACTAGCAGATAAGTGCTCTATCCCTGTAACAACATCGCTTCAGGGGCTCGGTGCTTTCGACGAGCTCGATGACAAGGCCCTTCATATGCTCGGGCTACACGGAACCGCTTACGCCAACATGGCGGTCCAAAATGCTGATCTGATTTTGGCCCTTGGTGCTCGTTTTGACGACCGCGTCACCATGGACGTGTCGAAGTTTGCCCCGGCCGCGTTCACTGCCGAGAAAGAAGGACGAGGCGGCGTCGTGCATTTTGAGATACTACCAAAGAACATAAATAAGGTGGTTAACGCTACTGAGGCTGTCGAAGGGGATGTGTCAACCAATTTAAGACTCCTCTTGCCCCTGCTTCGAGCAGTTGATCCCCTCGACGAGTCACGTAAAGAGTGGCTATCTGCTATTCAGGAATGGAAGAGTACCTGGCCAATATCGGACTTCGATCGGACCAGTCGGCCCGAATTGATCAAGCCGCAGGTTGTCGTCGAACGACTGAGTCACCTAGTCGAGGATCGAAAGGAGGACGTATTTATCACAACCGGTGTTGGGCAACATCAGATGTGGGCTGCCCAACATTTCAGGTGGAGGAAACCGCGCTCAATGATCACCTCGGGCGGACTGGGTACAATGGGATTTGGCTTACCGGCGGCTATCGGTGCCAAGGTTGCGCATCCAGACGCACTGGTGATTGACATTGACGGCGATGCGTCATTCAGCATGACCTTGACCGAGTTATCAACAGCGGCTCAATTCAATGTCGGCGTGAAGATCCTGCTGCTAAACAACGATGAGCAGGGCATGGTCACGCAGCTGCAGAATTCTTACTATGAGGATCGCTATGCACATGCGCATCACGAGAATCCCGACTTTGTGACGTTAGCTGAGTCTATGCATGTGAAAGCCCGCCGTGTCTCTGATCCCCGAGAATTGGATGAGAGTCTCGCCTGGCTCTTGGAAACGCCAGGTCCAGCTCTTCTTGAGGTAGTGACAGACAGGAAAGTTCCTGTGCTGCCGACCGTTCCATCTGGACGCGGCCTTGATGAATTCATACCATACAGCCAAGGTAACTAAGTGACACAACAATTCCCGGATATGGAACTCATTTGCTGATTTAATATAGAAAAGGAGATTCAAAGGCGGGAACTCATTCGGCGGCGAACACAGGGTCTTCATGGTTGAAAGGGGAACGCTTGGAATTCACACTGCGAAGCCACATGTTGCTTCAGAATTATGATAAAAAAATGAAGAAGCACCGTACACCCTCGCACCTTTGCCTACTGTATAGCTTTTCTTATTGACTGAAAAATGCCCCCATCATCAAGATTGATATGCACAAGCTAAGCATACCCTTCTGGAGCGTAACGCTATATCCTGCCTCCTATAGGCCATGCTATCAAACAAAACTGAAACGAATGGATCTCGGTTTCAGCTACACTGGAATCATTGAGACTTATCTGGTCTTGGGCTAATTCACCGAAATTGCATAGTATGAGGACCGAGGTTCTCTTGATAATGGCCTACCCTATACTTTGATGTTTAAGACCGGGTAAAGGGCAATTACTCAGGATACTCGCAGCTGAAAAGTATTTCTGGCCACCGATGGAAACGAATCCGGAGATAGAGGCCGTAACACTTCTTTTACGAGGCGAAACAAACATTTTTCTAAGGCCAGGGTGGGATTTTTAGCCCAATTTCCCTAATAAAAAGCAACTTGTGGTGGCTCAGCTTGCCATAGAGCCTCAAGTGAGTGAAATAAAACCTGGCACACCGAGGTAGTTCAACGTTGAATTTCAACACAATGTTAAAATAATCAGCCTATTACTGAATACAATATCAAGCTAAACCTCATAGATTACCTCTTTATTGTTGTATTTAGTTATAAACTAAGTCCCTGCCTTACACGAAAAGAGCCTTGGTATGCCATGTTTTATTTCACCCACTTGAGCCTTAACCATTGATACTCGTCAAAATCCGGGAATAACTAGCAGTAGCTCCGTATGTTCGTGGGATCTCCACAGCTATACGAGGTGAAAAGGACTGTTCCTGGAAGCAACCATGAAGAGACCGACCTCCCAGTTGAGACTGAAATCCGACGTGAAACAACCAATACCGGGTGAGCTTTCAGAATGGTTCATAAACTGGCTATGATATGAAACAAATGCCGTTAGCCGACAAGGAAGTGGAAGCTGTGACTTGGTAGTCGGCCAGTTGCACACTGCTACCCACATGGGTCTACCTCAATGGGCGTATCGCATGAGACTCTTCGTCCACATATGGAATAATTATACGCCATCGAGTGCCGTGCATCCGGCAAACCTTCTGCCACATGGAACCAGACTCTTTAAGAGAAATGTTCATTCGCTCGTTACAGATCTGCATCAGATTCCTGTAATTTAATACGGGTGAACCTGATACACGATGCCCGCATTGTGGATCTTCATCCCGGAAAGGGAACGGTTTCCCCCCTCCGAGATCTAGTTTAGAACAGCACGGAACAACACCCGAACGATGCCTGTAAAAACCGGGCTGGGAAGTAGGTTCGAGACCACATGTTTCTGAGAGGACTGTGCGTAGTCCATACGGCTGGGATTGCGATGACATCTACCTGCTTCTAGCTTCAAAGCTCTTAGGAGGGCTGTTACAGGTTTACAGTTTCAGGTTCTGACACGAATATATAGCTACACCAGCGCCCTCGTCTTGAATTACTTTTCATCCTCGCCCATTCCAAATCAGTTTATACTACAATTTACAGTGCATTCACAAAGAAATACCATCTTCGTTCCAAAGAAAATCCGATACTCACAATGAAGTTTCTCTCCTCCTTAGCCGTTTCCGGAGCCGTGCTCTTCGGCACTTCCCAAGGTCTGCCGCAGGTCGGCCCAGAAGGCCCAGAACTTGCTCCCCGCGACAGTTGGGGTGGTGCCGTGTCGCTCGGTCCTACAACCTCCACGATCAAGAAGGCCGTCACCACACTCATTCCGGGAACTGCACCCTCCACCCAAAACGGCGTCCTCTTCCTCTGGCCAGGCATGTCAAACGGCACTGGAGACCTGATCCAGACCACTCTCGAGTCCTGGGCTGATAACTCCTGGTGCGGCGCCAAGACCGGCCAGTGGTGCGTCCGCGCCTCCATCTTCGGCTCGTTCGGACAGCTCGATGGCTCAGCCAGCCCCGTGAGCGGCGACCAGAAGGTCAAGATTGTGTACACGCTTCTTGAGGACAATGATACCTGGAGACAGGACGTCACTGATGGCGACACGGGTGCTCAGCTCAGCTCCTATGAGTACAAGTCCGGCCCTTATATGCGAGGCTACGGCACCGGCACTGAGTGCAACGACGGGTGCACCCCAACTATTGCCGACCAGCGTTACATTAACACTGAAATCACGCTTGCAGGGCCTGATAAGAACTTTGGAAAGACCATTGCGTCTTCTCAAGGAGCTACTTATTCCGGCCTCTCCAGCAACAGTGATGGTTCCGTGTGGACGATTTCGGAGATCCATGTTCCCAAGATGTCCTAAGATCCCGTGCTTCATCGTCAGATGTTTCTGCAAAAACTAGGCTTAACATGCTGGACAAGTTAATGGCCACCTATCTCATATGTGTATATCTAAGCACCGCCATATTTATAGAACATTGATCATCTATAATCCCCCCTTTCAAATAAAGTTGAATTTCTGGGATAAGCTCCATGAGTGAATCTTTAAGAGTGATCAGCCAATAGAAATCGAAAGCCCTTTCCACAATGTGCAGCATATGATGTAGGATGTTTGCTTCCAGGTTAATGTCTAAATGTCGAGGGAGATTCGGAATTCAAGTCGATCCATCTACCCTGGACAACAGATGCAGGAATGCTAATGACGGTTACCTTGGCAGGCTCAACAATAGTCCCATTGACTGGAGGGACCATCTCAAAGTTCGTTGTAACACATAAAATGTCCTTGGCGCTCTCGCCATTACCCGAGGTGGAAGCTGCATGGCCTAGAAGAAGTGAGAGAATCCTTCTAGCAACGGATTGATAAGTATTGTGTTGGTTGTGAGAGTCAATCCCTCAAACTAACACGAATGCGGTTGTCCAAATCCAATATGCCTGAAATATCCCCTAGATTAAAGACGAAGTCGGTTGTACCTTGAATCTCCAGGATTGTAGCAATGCTTGACACTATGTCGTCTTGGGAGGATCTGTCCACAGCAATGCTGTTCATTGCCAAAAGCTCGGCAATCGACCAGTAGACATGACCATTGTAGATTTTAAAGCCTTCAAATGGAGTTGTCTGCTGGATTTTTATCAACCCAGCAGTAGAGAACGACTGAGCCAAGCGCAAAGGTGGTTGATGCCGAGAACTTCATGTTGATAAAAACACCATTTCATAGTATTAGAGGCCGACACAGATGATATTCTACTAGTTAGAGCATAGAAAGTGATTTTTGATGCTTATGAGTATGCTATTGGGTTGTTACGCGTCGAATTACTCATATGTGTAGATATCCGGAGCGTAACTCTATGGTCGTGACTCTATGGTTGAAAGTCGTGCATGCTTCGGCTGTTAAAGGAAATGAAAAGTGTCCCATAGGACCATGGGATACTGCCACCCTCTACAACTAGAGGCTTCGAGGTCTATGATAAGCTATGGAGATGTCAAATCACTACAGAGAGAATCCACCAATGATGTAGAAAAGGTTCGGCTTGAATGAAAAGACTACATGGAAGTAAAGCAATAATCTTGTCAATTCTGGATAAGATCTCAATATTACTCAGCCGAAAGGCTAATGAAACTAGTTCATACTATTGTTATTTAGCTAGTTTGATTGGCGTAAAAAGCAAACGCATATCGAGCTGAGGTGGAGAATCCATTCGCGTGTTACGTGTATATATTGGTGGGAGACACACTACCCCTAAATTCTTGTTTCCCAGCCTCTCAAACGTCTTGCCTTTCAAAGGTCCAACCCAGTGTGACAAAACCTGGTACCGACACACCCAACTCATCAGTCACGACATGAAGGCTACCGCGGCTTATCTAGTGGGGCTTGCCTTGCTCGACACTGGGAGATGTCAAGCAACCGGCATGCTTTGCGGTCTCAAGAAATTCTGTGCGGCTGATGCCCGATGTGTCCCTCTTGGTCCAAACTGCAAAGATCTCGACCTATGCCCCGGCCGCTGCTGGTTTAAGAATGATTACCCTTTATGCGGGCCCCATATCGGAGGCTGTCCGCGGGGATTTGGATGCGGTGATGATCCGCGGCGCAAGAAAAAGAAGACCCAGAAAAAGTCGAATAACGCTGGAATATGTATTCCAGATGATCGTTCTGCCTACCCAGTTTGTGGTGGAACCGCCGATATTTCATGTCCTGAGGGGAAACATTGTTATGATAACCCATGGGATTCATGCCACCCCTCAGGAGGGAGTACAAAATGTATAGGCATCTGTATCTAAATGGGATTTGCTCATTTGACCTTCGTGATCCCGGAGGTGTAATAAGACCGGCTTGGCTACCAACGCCAAGCTCACCCAGCTCACCCGCGTCGATGATTGGTTGGGGTCTGGGCGGCACAATTACTCAAATCAGAAACATGCAGATGTCCTGGACGTCACTTTGCTTTAGTGATGTGCCATTGAGCTTCCAATGTGGCAAGCACAGCCTTCTTACTTCCGCCAAGCTATGTTGCTCATTACTTAACCCAGAACCACCTGAGCTAATAGGAACTTCGAACCACCTGAGCTGATGGGATGGTCGAGATACGTGGTGTCAACGTTGCAGGTCGCAATAAGCATAAAGCTGAAGTGGCCAGGGACCTGAAGGAGCGCCTAAGGAGGCCTCACAGCCCCCAACCCCTCGTCCTGCTTCATCTCGCAAATGCCTTTCATTATAATACTGTCTTTTCCTCACATTCGACTACGCGACGACTGGTTTTCCAAGGCCAGATTTACCACTCAGCCATGGCTTACTCCAAAGCGTACCGTTTTATAAGCCTAGGACTCTTAATCGCAAGGGCTTTCACACAGAACATCATTCCCGATATCGAAAACTTCCGCCGCGCAGGATTTTGGCGAGGTCAGCTTGTCTTCACCCTCGTCTTCACCCTCTCTGGCTTCAGCGTGTGGACTTGGGGACTCGACTAACGTTATTCTAGCAACGGTGCTTGACAAGTACATCTACTTGGACGGGGGACAGGTGTCAAGTAGCAGTCCCCATCGCACAAAGGATCCGAGTACGTGGCATCCCAAACCCTTCTAACAAACCCTGCATTTTGTTTTTTCTTTGGATTACTCCTTGGATTGAGGTTGACAAGGAGCCATTCTACCACCGGCTATATGGTAATATAGTCAATAAAACACTATCAATCGATTGTTCAACGTCCTGGTCCCCCAGTGACGCTGTCTTTCGAGAAATCGAGCGAGCTTCCGACATCCCTTCCCGGGCCCAACATGCCATGCTTACGAACAAAGCGGCCGGCTCCTTCTACATTTATGGCGGGTGGGCCACAAGCAAGGACTCGGCAGACGACAGCCAGTTTTGGAAGTTCACTGCAGATGGCAAAGGGGGCGGCGATTGGGCCAAGGAAGCTAAAGCCAATTCAGATTTCTTCGCCGGCCTTCAGCGCAGCGAGGGCGCCGCGCATGTAAGCACCAACGAGGCAGGGTTTATAATCGGTGGTGCAGTCGTGGACTCGAAGCCGAGCCAGAATCTAGAGGCCATCAGAGTGTTCAACTTCACCACGAAGACGTGGGAGGAGGAGAGAACCACTGCGTACTCCAAAACCGGCACACTCTGGGGTGGGTCAGCGACATTTGTTGAGAAGTACGGCGGCAGCGGCATAATAGTCATGTTGGGCGGCGTGGAAAGCGGCGCAAAGGCAATGGCGGACCCTGGAAATGTGTTTTTCTATGACATTGCCGAGAAGACGTGGCATACTCAGGCAACAGTGGTGGCAACGAATCACGAAGACGAGCCGATACCTTGGAGCAATGGATGTGTCGTTGGCATCGAAGACACAGGGGATAATGGTTCTTTTGAAATGTGAGCTTGAGATGGAAAGGGCATTCAACCGAGTGTCAGTTCTAAGTGCAGCAGCTAATTCTTCAGTTTACAGTTTCGTTTTTGGCGGTGGGAATAGGGAGCGAGACGAGGAAATGGGCACCATCCATGCCCTAAGTCTGCCTGGCTTTGTTTGGACGAAGGTCAGCGACAACCTCAGCCACATCGGTAATAGGACTGACCACGCCTGTGTGACTCTTGGAAACAATCAATTCATCTCATTGGGCGGGCTGGATTGGACAGGCAGTGACTCTCGCAACTGGGGCATACAGGACAAGCTACCCCGAGGCATCGGCATTTTCAACATGAATAACCACTCATGGCAGGATTCATACGATGCAGAGGCACCCAAGTACGTCACCCACGAAAAGATCAGGGCGTGGTATAAAGATGCGTGAGTGTTCCACAGAGACTGAGCCGCCTAAGGCAAGCGATGAGCGCCCGAACTGACTATGGACTACCATCAGAGGCCTAGAAAGAAGAGTCTGGGCTAATGACAGAGTCCGTGCCCTATTTACACAACCAGATTCCAACAATAATGGTAATAATAGTAGCAACGTCAGGGACGGAGGCTCAACCGAAACCCCGGTCGGGGCAATCGCTGGAGCAGTCGTCGGTGGGCTGGCCGGTATTGCCATCGTCGGAGCCGCCGCTTGGTTCCTCTTACGAAGACGTCGTCAATCGCAGGAACAGTCTGTGGGAGAGCTGGGCTCTGGAACAGGAGAAGTCAAGTCATCCCCGCCAGCATATGGGGCAACGCCTGCGCATACGAGTGAGCTGCACAGTAATCAAGCGCCATCTGAGCTCGCGGATCAATATGTCCCTCCTCTAGCAGCAGCATCATTGGGCACAACAACCCCTGGGCCAGTGTCTGAGCTAGACGGCTCAACTGTACCTCGACGAGGGCCTGGGACAACAGTCGAGCTCCCTGAATAAAACGTAGAGTGGCTGCGGCGAGTATTATATTGGGGAAAAAAATAATACTACAGCTGTTAGTAAGCTTGAAATACAGATTGCTAACTATATTAAAACCTAATAATCTTCTATAATAATATAAAAAGAAGGGTTTAAATTTTATACATAAATACTGTGATTAGGTGCTCACTAACACTGTGAGAATCCGTCCGAAAATCGACCGAGCTCACCGATAAAGCCAAGCCTAAAGTGCTTACACTCTTCCGAGGTAGATCCTTGCGACATTGCCTGTGACATTATCCTGGCAAGATTTTCAGGGGTGCATAAGCCCTAGGTACTATCAGCCCTGCCAGGTATATACCGGCTCGTTCGGGTGGAGATATGTAACAAACTAACTAACGTTTGTGAATCCTTGCGACCTGTCGGAAGCATTCGATGATGATCTCATTGGTAGCGTCAGCGGACTAGAAATTACGACGTCCTCTATTTGGAAAGCGCGCGGCTCCCTCTGCTAGGCCTTGCCTTTCCTTCAAGTAGTGCTAGCAGATTTAGGTGGTGCCCCCTCGTGGGATTGAACACAATGGAGAGCCAGTACTCAGTCACTACAGCACACGACAGGTAGAGTTATAGTTGATTAGCTAGATCAAACGAAACCCATAGGATCTCAAGATACCTCTAAACCGGAACTACTCCAACATATCACGCTCCTGTTGTATCACACCCCTCCGAACACACCATACCTCTCCAACCCCAACCGCGGGCACGTAGCAAGGATAAATCCTCATAATTGTGCCCTTCGATCATCCTCTCCGCGCCAAGAAGGCCCCTACAGGCTTCTAATGGCGGCTTATTTGCTCTTCTTGGGAGAGGACTTCTTAGAGCCCACCTTGAAACCACCAGCCTGAGCCTCCATAGCAGCGATCTGAGGGTCCTTTGGGCCCGATCCGCTACATTGGGCCATTTCTCCCCTGCAGGCGCCGCAGTCCATCTTTTTGCCCTGGGCCTTGATATTGACCATGCAGCGGCCCTTCTGACAGAGACCGGGCTGGCCTTGCTATCAACCCCAAAGTATGTTAGATGAAAGTCCCCAAGAGTAAAGTGAGGGTGAAAAAGATGATAGGGACATGCAAGGATTAGAATGTGGTTTTCAGGAAACTTACACATTGCAGGGTGTTGCGGGCAAAGACACGAGAAGGGATAGTGCGCCTGTAGTGCGCGAGAGCTTCATCGTAGGCATCAGCGTAAGCCCTGGCATGAGCAGCCCGGGCCGTGAGCTCGATGCTGTGGTCAATGTCACGGGCATCGAGGTCGTCGTGCTGCGCAGCAGCATACGAAGTAAAGGCGAGAACAGAGAGGATAGTGGAGAACCGCATTTTGAAGATTTAAGGAATAGCCGAATAGTAATGCGTGGTTTTGGTTGATTATTAAGTAGTTGAAAGAGGTCAAGGAATATAATGCTGATTTCTGTTGTTTGTTGATCTGGGAGAAAGAAGAAATCAGTAGGCAGAGCCCGACACCTTTATAGTCCTGGAGCTCCTGTTGTTCTCTTGAGCTATTTGAATGGACTTATCAGAAAGTTCTATCATATGCCTAAATCGGGAAGAGCTTTTAGAGGCCCAGGCTCTAGAACAGGGAAGATCCCCCGACACCTATCCTTGTTAAAACTGCTACCGTGGTCCATAGAACTTATACTTACAGGGTCATGCTCTCATATGCCGGAAGGAATCTTAGAGCGTATAGCCAATTTCGAGAAATCAGGCGTTCAGCAATGCCGGAGATAGGGATACGGACATACTCTCTCCTTTACTCGGCGCCCCTCCGATTTACTTGGGCGGTACACCGTAAAGGCGCGGAGATATCAATACCCAGAAAAGCCTTGAGGGCAGAATCCCGCCCTAACACGCCCAGACTGCTTTAGAAGGCGACAGTTCTCGCCATCCCCGAGGGTTGATCATCTGACATATCTTGGCGGATCCGTGCCATACACCTGTCACATTGCACGCAGCGTATCCGAATCCACACATGTCATGTTAGATCAGTCAATATGATCCCCCAGGGGGTGGGGTGGCAGGGACATGACCGGTACTCAAGGAAGAGCCGGACGGTTGCTGTTCATTTAATTGCCGACCCATGGCCGGATCAGGTTACATGTAGCGAGCAGGGAGGTTCTCACTTTATATTGATGCTGCCTCCGATATGACTATTAATAATACTACTCGTAAAGCCCGGTCCGAATATTCGCTTCCCTAAAACGATAAGATCAAGCAGCACTTCGACCTAGCCATAATAGAGGTAGATTCCTAATGCTAGTACAATAGTAGGTGTTGGCAGAGAGATGATGGAAAAGTTCATGTAAATGATCCACGGCAAACGGTAGGCATATGAACAGAGGTAACATCCAATGCCCAAGCAAAGTTCAAATCACCTTTCGTAGGGAGAGCCATGCCCTGAGGAATATTTTCAAAATTGCAAACGGGGGACGGAACTTCCCTGAGGAGTTGTGGCGATAACTGCCGATGCGCGCCCACATCACGTAGCTCCAGTATCGGTTAGACTCATGAAGCTCTAGCCTAATTATAGAGCAGAGAGGATTAAGCGCGCGGTTCCAATCTCATGGGAGAGCATAGACGACGCCCATTAGAGTAGCTCGTGTAGTATAATCATTACACTCCACTCTACCGTCTGGGGGATTTACCGAGCTAATCTTAGCCCTTTAAGGTGAGGTATAGGTGACTCGGTAATTGATCTATACCTAGTATACAAGGGAGGCTGGTAAAATCGCCTTTGTCGGTGAAGCCGCGACTGCCGCAGCGTACTTCTGCCAGTTTTTGTTCTTGTGGGCATCGGCATAGTCGGAAACTCCCTTGACAGCGAGGGAGGCCCGAAGCCGGATTTATAAGCAGATAGAGAAGAGCGGTTGCTCCGCGCGTAGATCTCTCGCTACCCCAGACTCTGCAATCCTCGGCCCTTAGTAAGTGAGAGAGCTACACAGTGAAATATATAAAGGGGGGGAGAGGGGCGGAATTCCTGAATACCAACAATTTAACAACTTAACACTATACCCAGTATTACAATACTATACTACTATAATAACCTAATAAAGTTTACTATTTATAATAATCTTCCGTCTTATAAATTCAATATAAAATAGAACTATATATAAAGTAGTATATTATATTGATAACGCACGAATTCAGTTTACTTTATTCATAGCTGCTTTGTTTTGTTTTGTTTCTTGATTTTTCCACCTCTCACTCCACCTCCCTCACTTGGTCTCCTGCCTACTATACAAGCGAAGACATGTCCTCCGATGAAGTGCTGAGGACAGTGTCTCGTTAACCTCTCGCTGGCCAGTCATCATCAGAGAGCCGTTGATGCTGGAAGGCTCGGATCAGAGGGCGTACCGGAGAGCCACGAATGTAATCTCTTAACTCACGTTCCCGAGATTGATGGCCTTCTCGCAACCAAGAAAGCAATTCTCGTGATCCAAGCCGGCGGTCATCATTCTCTGCAAGACCATATGATTCAATAGCCACAACATGCTCCATGATTTCGATTGCCTCTTCAAATCGGCCGTGAATACCATATTGTCTTGCAAGGTGACGTTGAAATGCACGTAAATCGGCGTCGTCCTCTGCAAAACAATGTGACCCGACAGCCACAACACGTTCCAAAATCTTGATAGCCTCTTTAGCTCGATCATCGTCAGTTTTACTATACGCTATTGCAAGATCAAATTCTGAGCAAAGTCGATCACTGTGGTCCTCTGGAAGACAATGCGACATCATATTTACAGCAAGCTCAAGGAGCTCAATACCCTCTTCAAGTCGGCCAACTGCAACGTATGCATTTCCAAGTTGACGGTGCGTCGCAAGTCGCCAATAGTGGTCTTGAGGGAGGCATTTGGCTTGAATATCTTTAATACGCTCCAGTATGCTAATGGCCTTATCCGTCTGCATATCCTGAAGATAAGCTTTTGCAAGTCGATTTTGTGCTGCAAGAAGGTTAAGATCATCCTCAGGAAGGGACCCAAATCGGATAGCCGTAGTATACTCTAGAATGCTAATAGCCGCAGCAGGTTGCTTTTTGAAAGTATAAGCATCCGCAAGTCGATCCTGAGATCCAAGATGCTCACGGTGGTCTGTAGGAAGAGACCTGGATTGGTTGGAAATGACATATTCTAGAAGACTGATGGCCTTATCAATCTGCTCACAGCGTATGTATATTTCTGCAAGCTTATCTTGCGATATACACTTTAGATAATCATCTTCCTTGAGACATCTTTGGACAATGACAGAGCGTTCAAGTATCGCTATTGCCTCAGGGTATCGTGCTTCATCATATAGACAGCAAGCGATCTTGTACCCGAGCTTGGTGCTCCAACCTGGTTCGTCTTCTTTCAGGTTTTGATATGCTTGCAAAGTGTGTGGCAGATACTGTTGCCACAAGTAACGATTTCGCCATTCGCCGTCTGGGAACACAGCATAAAGGTGCCAGAATATTGTGTCTCTCTCGAGCTTGCTTATGCCTTGGCTGCGCACTTGTCGCTGTACAATTGTGTGGACTAAAGGATGCATGTCGAGCATGTCACCGTCTTGCCGAGTAGAAAGAAACCCGTAGCCCTCAAGCGTGCCAATGACTTGTGTCTTGGCCTGTTCGGTCCCCATATCTGGAAGAATAGAGCGTGGAATAGCCTTTGGCTCAATCCACGAGATGAATGACAACAGCCTTTCAGCAGCGGGGTGATTTTCCTTTATTTGCTTAAACGACACGAGCCATGTGGTCGCCACAGCGCTCTGGCTCTTGTTGTGGTGCGTGTCATCGTCAAAGCCGCTGCCGAGCAGTTCCATCATGCCCTCTTCCGATTCTTGATAATCGCTTAGATACCGGGCAATAGAAGTCCGATTCATGTTGAAATAATTTGCTGCCTGTGCAATGGCGAGAGGGTGGTAGCACAGCACTTTGAACAATTTCCTTAATTGTTCGTCTCGCGCCTTGTTTGGGTCGATCAATAGTTGCTGCAACAAATCCCGCGCTTCCCTAAAGGACATTTTGGGTAATTCAATGACCTGATTCCCCGCAAGGCGAACGGCAATTTCTCGCTTGCGAGTCGTCACAAGGATCTTGCCGTTCGAGTTCTGTGGCAGGAAGCTGCGAATGCCGTTTTGAAGGCTTGCAGCGCCGTAAGTGACGGTCTCATCGTCGGCGTTGTCGAGAATGAAGAGCCACTTTCCAGCCTGTTCTGACTCAAGGTAAGTTTTGAGCGTATCTTTGGCGTCGTCTGTTGCTCCGTGTGAGATTTTGAGCCTCGCGATAAGTACTGAGCACGCTTGTTCGTAGCCTGCCATGCTGAAAGCAGGTAACCACAACACCGAAGTGCTTTCGACCTTTTGCGTTGTCTGATGAGCAAACTGTAGGGCGATTTGGGTTTTCCCAATACCCCCAAGGCCGACCAAAGCGACTGTGTTCTGGCCATCGATAAATAAGCGCTTGTGAAGCTCATCTATTATGGCCCCACGGCCTGTGAAGTTGGGATTTTCGCGAAACGGAATGAAATGGATAACTGTATGCATCAGTCTGATTAGCAAATTTACGAAAGGTAATGAAACACCCCCATAGAACTCTTTCACAGATATACTAATTGGTTGAAGACGTACCGGATTTACTTTGAGGCGCCACGGCCTCTTCGAAGAAGCCTTGCAAAATCGCCTTTGTCGCTGAAGCTGCGACTGCCGCAGCGTATTGCTGCCAGTCTTTGTTCTTGTGTGCATCTGCATAGTCGCAAACTCCCTTGACAATCAGACATGAGGGGAAAAGATCCCAGAGCCCGGCCCCCTCCATCTCAAACCCGATGGTGTTCTCTCTCTCAGCGATCAGATCGCGATGTTGAGCCGACTTCATTACTGTGTTGGCCGATGCCATTCCTCCCACATGCATTATTGGTGAAGATGCAATAGTGCTTTGTTCCTGGTCTGCCCTGTCTTGAGGTCGCAGGCGATGTCGCGCGACAAGATACCGCCTACTGCACTTGAGGTCTGAGCAGGTCGATGTCAGAGCTTTGTCACAAACTGGATCTAATTGACCGAGACACCGTGCGCAAATGTCACACTTTCTAGAGCCGTGATGCTTATGTCGATATGTTGATTCGAAGAGTTTGTCATGCTCCTTTCCTACATAGTCATACAGCCCGTCGTCTTCTGTGGAGGCGAGACTTTGCTGCAGTTGCGACAGGCATGTCGCGGTGTATGCTTTCAACTTCTTGCGAAGATGCCGAGTCTCCAACAGGGCGTTGAGGCTGCGAACTTCCCTCGATGGCCTGCCTAGAGTATCTAGAATTGTTTTCTTCGGTCTGTACCCGTCGGGGTATTGCCGCCCAAAGTCACACTGAACCACGTATTTGGAAACGACGATGTCTCCGAGCAGGACCTCGGTATTTCCGTATTTTGGCACTGCGCCGCAGATGCCCACGAGCAGACCAAACTGCAGGTTGGGAAATGTGGAATGCATGGTCGCCCCGGCCCTGGCAGCGCTCACTCCCCCCATCCCATCTAGGAGGAGGAGGACGACGGGGACTTTGCCCATCCGTCCGGTAGTATAGCGGTTGGGGTCGCCTGCACCTCCTGTTGATGTAGGCTCGCTCCATGTTTCGTCGAGGCTATCGTGCACGGCATCGTATTCGAGTGACAGGGCACAAACAATGGCGAAGCGAAAAGCGCTGTTTGGAGGAGTGTTGGACATCTTGGAGAGGTCCTGTGCTTGCCACAGTCTTTTTTTGGAGGGGTTTCGAAGTCGAGGGCTTGATCCCTTAGAAAAGCATCAGGCGTTCTTCTTGGGAAGGGGTTCTTCTTGAGAGGTGGTCTGGCGGCGATACGGAACAGAAGCCAAAAAGGAGACAGACAATTTCAGCCTAACGGTCTGACACGAGTGCGGGGTGTCCGTCATTTAAGTAGGCAACCTGGAAAGGTCAGCCACATGCAATGTGCAGCTTCCGGTACTACATAAGCGGTTGGTGCTCTACATAAGCACACAGCCGTCTCGGGACAAATGAGAGACACGCCTGTAATAGGAAGAGAAACAAGACTGTAGTTTCCACTCACAGCATTCCGTTTAGTGGAGACATCTATATCAAGCCTGCGCCAAACATACATCTTAGGTGGGTGACATTAAAAATGGCACTCCTAAGCACTCTCTTAATACATGCTTGATCTATTATGTTTTATAGCTAGCTATAGAATCACTAAAATAAGATTAAAAGAACAGAATATTTAAGACTATATTTTTGATATTATCTGATCTATATATAGAATAAGCTACTTGTTTGGATATTTAGATATCTATTCAGGTGTTTATTTAGGTGATTATTGAGCCTTCACTTGGATGTGCCATTTCCTGTGTTACCTACTTGCCGCGGCTACTGATTCACCAAAGACCGATGGTCAAGGCAAGACTGCAGATCACAGCTCTTTCGTGCGTCGGCATTCTAGTGGATCTTTCCCGGAATGAGGGGTTTCATGCAATATATAACAACCACGCTTTTGTCACAATTGTGTAGGTTCAAATAGCAGACTAGTAGCATCGAATTACTTGCTGACTTTGGTTCGCATGCACTCTGCTAGTAACTGCCTATGCCGCACCTTGCTTTGCAAGGCTTTGCTTGAGTTGTAGCATCGGGTACTCGTTCTACACGTAGAGACGCCTCACGTTTAGCTTGTTGAAAAATGAAAACCCCATCCGCATTGCTAGGACGCTAGACTCATCTTCGTTTTACACAATGAATACCCTTGCGAGCCCCTCTTATAGGCTGCTCGCAGCCTGGTTAGTCATTGCTGCAACATACCTCTACTTCAGCCGCTCCTACAAGATGTTCCAGCAGTACAAGGATATCCCACAGCTTCCCAACTTCTTGCTTTGGAGCCGCCTGCAGCTCTTTGATATAATTTTAACGCAAGATCCTCTAAATCATTACCCAGGTGGGAAGGTTCTTCAGTCGCTCTAGGAGTTCATAATCATAATCTGATAGCAGGTTTATCAATAAGAGTTAATCCTTGCTGATATACATTAGCCTCTCACACAACATGCTGGTTAACTTATAGCCCATTAATCCTCTTATAACTACTAACAGCGGCAATGATAGTAGAACAGCTAGCTATGCCTTCAAATATACTTCTATACAGCACCACCAAGGCCCCTTCTATCAAATAACTGGCCCATCTAATTAAAAAGAACTCTAATCTGACTAGATATGGTTTTTTCCCTAGTTGAATTAGTAAGTTTTATACTGATAAGATTTCTTAGATCTTAGAATAGAGGGAGATCTAGAGAGCAGGATTATTTATGGCTATCTCGTAAATATCAAATCTAACGAGGATGGCCCTTGACTCTGCTGGCTCGTGAGTGGAGGCGGCGCATGGATGTATAGAGCTATAGTTGAAGTCATGAATGTGTTACACAATCTGTTGGACATGCGGAGAACGAAAATTTCATTATTGAAAACGAAAACAATGATAACAACAATAACAACAACAATAAGAAAACTACTTTTGTCCAAAACCAGCACCCCCCTCCTCCTCGTCGAGGGCCCGACCTCGACCCTGGCCCCGGCCCCCCGACGTCTTGACCTGGCCGGGCGGCGTCGGCGCAATTGCATCACACATGCTCTCAATTGCATCCGCCAGGTTGATCCTGGCGTCGTAGATCTTCTGGGCGAGGTTGCCCCTCTCCGTTTGGCCAGCGGCCGCCAGGCGCCGCTGGCGATCTCGAAAGAGCGCCACAAGGACGATGGCGCCGACGACGGTCCCGAACGCCGCGAATGCTAGGATGACAACCTCCACCGTCGTCGTCATCGTTGTCTTCTTCTTCTTCTTCTTCTTGGCGTGGTGGTGGTAGTGGTGGTGGTGGTGCTGTTGCTACTGAGGTTTTTGTGGCTGTGGCTGCTCTGTTGGTGCTGAGGCTGTTGAGGCTGCTGAGGCTGTTGAGGCTGCTGAGGCTACTGAGGCTGTCACTGTTGGCGATGCTGGTGCTGGTGCTGGTGCTGGTGCTGGTGCTGGTGCTGGTGCTGGTGCTGGTGCTGGTGCTGGTGCTGCTGGCGGCGGCGATGAGAGAGAGAGAGAGAGAGAGAAATTGTGTGTGTGTGCTGTGTGTGCTGTGTGTATTTTATGTGTGTGTTGTGTGTGTTGTGTGTGTATTTGTTTGTGTTTGTAGTCGAGGAGGGAGATTGCGGCAAAGTTATAAAAAACACCAGAAAGTCTAATTCACTCTTGTCTGAGATTACGAGAATGGACAGTCGCGGATCAAGTTGACACGAACCAGCTCCTGCCTTTGCACCAACCTGATTACCCTTACTTGGGTGCCACCAAAATGCAGGAGCGAGGTTGATGCGATGCAACAGGCAAAGAGAGATTGCCTTAGACGGAAGAGGACTTTTGATAAAGCACGGGGGATGAAATATGGCTGAGAATGTGCAAGGTCCATCACTGAATCCAAGTGCTAAGATTCTATTCATTCGTTCACGCAGTCTCCAAGTATACCTGATCTCCGACAGTTTCAGAAGTTCGCCATGGAAAGGTTATTACTTTAAGCTTTCGTATTTTTTGAGTTGAGTTGTCGGGCCCTGGCAGCTTCCATTGGTGTTGAACTTTATTCTCTTTCTCCTACAAGAAGTTCGCCGTTCAAGATGAAGTTTAAATCACCCACAGGAAAATTTGAGACGCGAGATCCTCCTTTGCCTTGGCAAGTACGCCGCCGGGAGGATACCTAGATTCATAGTAGGCAGCTGGGCGAATTGCTGACTGTCAGCAAGTGCAATAGATGTTCTAGATAGGGTATTCACAACGCTACTGGGAGAATTCTCCAGATCGCCTGATATCAGGTCTTGCTTCCTTCTGCTATTCCACCTTTCATCTCTGAGAAGCACTGCAGATACCTTCACTCTTCGCGTTCATCACATCTAATCTTGCTAGGACCATCAACTGTATTCGTATATTATTCCGGCGCGAGCTCAGCGCGATCAATATGTGATCACACCTGAGAAGACGGACTCTGATGAGTTTGCCTACTCCATTGATACATGCTAAACGAATCCCCGGTGCAAAACACCAACTTTAGACGGCCAAGCCCCATTTATCTTCTGCCACTTCTTAATAGCAAACCCCGCCGCAAGCTCGTGCATAAATCTACCTACCAGAGCAGCCCATGCCGCTGTTCGGTAGTCCTGGCTATCTGACTTGGCTGCGTATGCAGCCTTTGTCACAGCATTGGCCCAGATCAGGATAACGGCTACTCGTTTGTCCTCTGCTACACTCTTAGTAAGAGAGCTTCCTAGTTTCGCAAGTATCGTACGGCGCTCCTTGATATCATCGAACAGAACTTCGGAGTTCGTGTTTGGTAGCTTGGTTCTGGTAACCGTTCTGGCAGCCACCGTACAACTCTCACGAATATGGCCCGCGGCCACGAGTACATCAGGAGAGCCATCGAGCTCGCCATCAAGCTCCACCACCACCTCTTTCATGATTTGGTCAACGCTCTCGATGATGATCAGAACATGTTCTCGGGGCAACCATGCCGCCTTCGCGCAATCATCATATGCTGGGGGCGGCTGATCTGATGGCGGGGCATTTGGCCTAACTGCAGACGAAACCAAAGGTCAGTGTGAGCCAGAATGTTGTTACTTTGGCTTTCTTACCTTGAGTGGTGCCGGTATTGCCCTGGTTTTGGGACGGTTTGCTGTGTTTTTGGCCCATGACTAGGAGCTTTGGTGGAAAGAGTTCTTCTTTTTTTTTGGTTGATGTTGGTCATGGAAATCGTCCTTTGTTTGCTTTATACCACGTATACCACGAGCAAAAGCTACGTGTTTTGTGGACAGGCATAAGAAAACCTTGCCCATCACGCCTGGAAGTCAAAATATAGCTGTGTTTAATAACCTGGTACCTAAGTCAGGACGTTTGAACTTAGAACTGTATAAACATCTGGGCGGTTTTTCTGCTGTTGCGGCGTTTCATAGCAATAACACGCGGGAGAAAGAAAAAAGAATTTTTTTTTGAAAATAAATATATAAATCCAAGATTAAATTAGGGACGTCTTTTGGATCATCGAGTGGTTTCATCAGGTGGGAAAATTAGTGTTCTACCACGTCAAGCACTTTTGCCACCTCAGCGCCTTGAGCGGAAGAGGAGGGATTCTGGCATGCACGCACGAGGATAGGTAGCAGATCCATTCATAAAATAGATGGACAGTTGAGCACTCGCCAATGGTTTGAGAGGAAACACGCCCTTGTCGGCGGACTAGCTTGTATGTAGATTGGGGATTGACTGGGTAATCCTCTTACGGGGTGACTTTCCCAGAGACTGCGCCTCAGCTCCAGGTTCGCACGGCGTCTTCGCAATCTAGCAAAGTACCTTGGCAAATCCGAGTCGATTGAGTCGCGGTTATTCCGATGCGGTTCAGCAGCATATCACAGGACAGTAATTGGAGAGCAGCTTAATACAGAGTCTAAGAAAACAACATTATGTTAACACTATAGCGGCCCTGTTTAACCTATTAAGTACAGTGTATTCTATCCACAAATATATTCATCATGTCGTTATTTCTTGGGCTCGACTGATACTTCAACCAGTTCAATGTTGCTGCGATTACTCCTGTCCTCCAAGTCGTCATCCCAGAGATCATTATGCTCTCGGGAAAAGCTGATATTGGCCGAGTTGACCCCAGAGACTGTGTTGCGTGTGTTGCGCGTCGCGTTCGTCCGGGCCGAATCGGCAATGACTGTAAACCCGCCCTCGCGTTGTCTTGTCGGCACAGACTTGGCCCCTGAAGTTGGGTATTCGGAGTGCCTTCGGGTTCTGAAGTAGGGCCTGAGCGAGGGTAGAGCAGCAACCAGTAGACCAATGTTGTAATCAAGAGAGTTCCAAAGCGCTACGCCATTACTTGTCAGCTGTCTGGTCAATGCAAGGAGAGGGCGGATTTGAACCTAAAGCACGTACCAACTAAGCTGAACGGAACATAGTCCTTTGTAGTAGTCTCAAGCGCAACGAGGCGGACGATGGTGATAACAATGTTGATAATTCCGAGAAAGAAGGTGCAGTATAGACCAACCTTGAGCTTGGGCTTTAGCTGCAGGCCAGGTATGATAAGCCAAGGAAGAGCAAAGACTGCGAGAGCAGTTAGTGAGTGGCATCTCGTATTCCAAAAATGACACGGCATACTGATGACATCCCCAATGAAGTTCAGGGCCCAGCTGACTCTGAAGAACATCGTGACTGAGGATCCTGGGCAAGCCTCCTGCGGATTAATGGACCTAAAGTAGGTTAGTATTGCCACAACAGCGCCATCTCTGTTTGGAAAGTCTGTGCAAGAGGCTTTCCATGAATAAACTAACCAATTTCTTTGTACCGGCATACAGACGCAGATGAAGACCAAGATGCTCGATATATATGCGATAATGATGTAGGCAAGGGCCGCCCATACAATGCCCCTCCTCTTGTTCATGAAAGGCGGGAATAGGTCGAGATACAGTGCAACAAGTGATGCCTTGCAAAGGTAGAATGTCGACAAAAACGGGATGGTGCTGAACCAAGACAACTAATAGAACCCGTCATTAGGTGCCGTACAAATTGCACTGTGAACAGTGGTTACTCACCCTGGCAACATAGATGATATCCTCGACCGAGCCTTGGAAGCCCGTCAAGTCGGTGAGAACCTCTTTATTATAAAGACCGACACGAGCAAACTCAACGTCAAACGCTGACGTTGCGATGGCGCTGAGCCAAGTGACGCATAGTAGTATCTCGCTCGTTCGTAGTCTTCGTTTCTGCACTTTGAGACGGAAATGTAGGCGAGCGACGAGGATAGCGCCGACAATGGCGATGAGTAGCCATTCTGGTATCTGTATTTAAGGAATGCCATATTTAGCAACTGCCATCGGGATTCAGCTGGGTTCGAGTAGGTTGGAGGTTGCTGACCAAAACGCCAATTGGTCCTGGGGATGGACTTCCCATCGTGTCCGGTATTCTGTGAGGCGTCACTCCTTTGGTGAACTCGAACACGCCTGCAGGTAATTGTGAGAGGACCTCGGTGGGTAACTAACTGATGTGCAGATCGACGCTGTTTTATCCGTCCCGGCCTAAGATCTCAAAGTAGTGTATCAGCTCGGGCTTGGCCTGATTTAACTTGCCGTTTTGGATACCAAGAAAATACCAAGGTCACCACGCACTTTTGATTGGCCAAAGTACAGCACGTGGAGCACGATAGTGCTCGATCGAGGGGTTTCAACCACGATCAGGAATCCAGGATACACTTAGCACGGAGTAGCTCGAGGTTATGGAGGGGACGAACTGACTCGCACCCCTGTGCCCGAGGAGAGTTGGGTAGCTCGTAGCCTCATTTGACAAGGATCATGCAAGGAAAACCACATTTGGGCTAATAATGCTTGCTTGGTAGGCTTACTGGGGCCCGGCTGCCCGGATCACTCGCCACTCCCCCGACATACTAAAGAACTCTAATCGTTTAGTGCTTAGACCATTTGCTACTAACTGCAGGGCTACGTTTGGCTACGAATGTGGCTTGGAGCGGCTGAACCCAGCTTACATAGATAGGGAGACAAGTACTAGATAAAGACGGATTAGTTGAGTTTCACCTGTTGGCGGCGGCGAGAAGAAGAGTTTCATGGATTTCGCCTCTGCGCCTTATAAGAACCCCTTGAACGCGTGGGGCTACATATAAGATCGCAATGCTCGGGTGGAGATAACAGATCATCAAGGGGTAGATCGAGGCTACTATCGAATCGACTGAAATCACTCAAACTATAGGATAGCTAGCACTTGGAACGACCGGGCCGGACCTTACGCTAGTGACCTGGACTGTGAGAAGCCTTGTAGTAATTAGTCATGGCAATAAGTGGTCGGCTCTCGGGGGACGCCACGCTGATAATAGTGCTCGGTAGGGCTATTAGCATCATTAACTTAGGTTCACAAGGTTCGCCCGTTTTATGGGACCAAGATATCTTGGAATGCAGAGCGATTAGTAAGATACTCTCGATCCAAGGCACCGGGGTATGCAGTGTGATGAGTATCAAACCGAGGCATCGTGGGATTCAGGCTCATCATCCTATGAAGACGTAGTTACCTGATCATCAACCACCGACTGGACAAGATGCTCATCGGCCTGTAGAGCGGCCTGCATTTCGGACTCGACTTGATACCAGGATACTAAGTAACAAAAAGTACCGAAACAGAAAGAAATGGTAAAGGACATTGCTGTGATAGTCTCGGCGCCCCAGACTCTTGCTCGCGCCGCTTCTGCATATACTGCGATGCAGAGTGCTACAATAACGAACATGATGCTATTGCCTAATAACATGATGGGGACCTGCCACACGAAGGACCTCCAGAAAGTCCCAGCTGGAGCCCCTGACGAGGATGTCGAGACTGGTGATCCAAAAACTCCGCGTTGAATGATATCGACAAACAGTGGGTGTATTTCCGCCCGGCTTAGGGCAAGCATTTGCTGCGTTGCAACTCCGACCCCGATCAGGGAATGGAGAAGCGAGCAAAGAATGCAGACTTTTGCAGTGTAAGGCGGGACAGGAAACCAGTTCCACGAGAGCAGGCCAGCTGAGAGAGATGCAACGAGGGCGCTCTAGAAAGAGAAGAGGATCAGCTTGAATGACACACAATGCAGGAAAATCTTTCAAAGGGATAGACTACTCCGATTATGATGTTTGATAGCTCGTCCTGCTTTGATTTGACGAAGCGACATATCAGGACCGCCTTTTCATCGGGCGAGGCAGTGGCGAGGGTGTCGATCAGAATCTTCGCAATGTTTTCAGAAACGTCAGTTGGTGACCAGGCTTGTAAGATATATCTCCGCCCATACTCGATGATCTGATAGTATTAGAACATGGTGTGAGCTTTCACCATGAGTCGTCGAGTAAGACAAGCATACCTGTATGACACTAGCACTATTCATCCTATCTGGAATCTTGAAACCGATGATTGGGACTCTGTGGTATTGGTGTGTGCTATTAATGAAAGGTAGTGGAGGGTACGCTCTACTGAATCTGCAATTGTGTATGTTATGTAGTGGCAGCCCAGCCCAGGTGGTCAAAGTAAGGTATAGGAGGAGAAGGACGGTGTGAAATGAAAGTCTATCTTCTGATCCAACCCTCCAACAGCACGAGGAGCCTAAAATGCAGAGCCGCATCCATGTATCGGGCTCACAAAGACTGTGGGCTAGTTCAAGTGTGACGAAACTTTCCTCCGCATGCGTTATCACAAACGGTACTCATGCAGTACCTACTCGTGTTGGCCATAGCCAGCATGAAGTATATCACCTAAAGTTGCACTGGCTGACCGACAGCTGCTGATTAGGTTACATCTATAGGCAGCAGTGTTTCTTAAATCCAATAGTTCTTCTGTACTTGGAATAGCCATTGTGCAGAAAGCCACCGTGAGAAACAGCAGACGACTCAGAACTTGCAAAAATTGTCCCCGTGATGGATTCAGAAAACTCTCACGTAAGACGCCCGCAGACGCCACAGCGCCTAAATCTATGTCACAATTTGATTGGGGAAGAAAGACCGATATGCAGCCTTATTATTGCACAATCCTGATGGAGGTGTCAGCTGCATAGGGGAATGCTACGCCACAACTAAGGATAGCTGTTGCAGCCTAAATACCAATCCTGCTGAATGAGCTTGCAAGTTTATTTCATATCCGTCTTCTATTCCCAATATATGCAAAGCTCTCAAGGGCTATCCAACATCTCACTGCACCTGGAAACCACATTCAAGTAACTCCTAAAGGGCGAGGTATGTATAATGATATATGGTTCCGGTGATCAACGTGTTAATTCCAGGAAAGAAACTAAACTAAGTGCCGCCACACTTCAGTCCGATAATAGTTTCAGCGATGTCGCCGGGGGAAGCGAGAACGATTCACCTAGCAGTCACTCCAGCGGGTATTCCAACCACTCCTAAGGGAGCAGGCGACACCAGACCCGGCAATTTCTTTGGGCTTCCACCACATTACCAACACTGGTTGGTGATCATTGGCTCCAACGATGAAAGAAACGGCACAGTTTTCGAACTCAATCGGCCAGATGGGGGTATCGGTGTTCTTGTCCGCTCCGAGCAGCAGCGTGAAAGCGAGGAACTTGAAAATTCGACAGTATTGCGAGCGAAAAAACTTGATGTTACAACGTCTCTGAGTGATGAGGAGATCAATCGCATAGGTAAGAGCGTGAAGAAACACTGCTTAATGTATGAAGCTGCTAACTTAACTGGCACAGCCTCGGATATTTGCCAGACAAACTTGAAGGGAGAATACGATCTCGTCAATGGTAATTGCCAGACCATGGCAAACTCACTGATTAGTGAGATTGCAACCGAGGGAACATACGTAAATCACCAGACCATGTCTCATGTCCTTGGAAGCCTCAGGTGGGACGAAGAAGAGGTGGACAAGTATGGTGGCCCTCACAACAGGTTTTCATCTCCCTTCGACGAGACCCAGATGGACTTCAGGATGATTATTAGCTATGGTTCAAACGGCGAGTCGGTCGTATTTGACGGTGTCGAGAACCCATATAGCAGAAGGTCGAGTGCAGATGATTCTTCTCAACGACAGGAACCGGAGGAATGGGACGATAGGGTCGCCCATCCAAGTTGGGGCTCTAGGAATGATTATACCGTGCCATTTGGAGGCATAGAGACGCCTGCACCTCGGAGTTCGAATGAGGATGAAGAATACGCATATGGCACTGCCAACAGCAGCCCATTAGCGCAGGCGGATTCTTCTCAACGTCAGGAACCGGAGGAATGGGACGATAGGGTCGCCCATCCCAGTTGGGGTTCTAGGAATGATTATGCCGTGCCATTTGGAGGCACAGAGACGCCTTGGAGTTCTGACGAGTATGAAGAACCTGCTGCCAGCTCTGACAATGGCAGCAGTGGCGTTCCGGATCCAGGGGATCCTTTCTGGCTACACTAGGGTGGGATGTCAGCAAAACCTAGGGTTTAGGAGGGATAAGACCACCTCCTCCTTCATGATGTAACCCCTAGGCACTTCTTACTGTGTAATTCTCAGCAATGCCACCACACCGTCAAGTGATCAGCAGTCAGGCCGCAGATATTTGATCCTCTATATTCTGAATAGTCTCTGCACGTCTGGGCCGCAATCTAATTAGGGCGGCTAACTGTATCCCGAGTTATTGTGACGCCACTTCCTTGAATAGATTCCTAGGGCGGCCCGCCCATTCTTGCGATCATGTGCGCGATTTTTATCAGCTTTCAACCCATGTTGATGATGTATCATACTGCATGGCGTCTTGCAGCGTGGCACTTTTGCAATTTTTGTTCAGCTTAACTGCACGTCTTGTCACAGCCTTGTTCCGATTTGAGCCAATTGGGAGCATGGCACTACCCACTCCTTGCCCCCTATGTCTTTCAGCTGATGCTTGGCTTATGATGGTTGGCCAGCTTGGAAGCATTATCATCTTTATGATCAATAAAGTGGCGTTGGATCCCTCGCCTCGCTAAAAATAATGCGAGTCCGAGGTCCACGTCTGTCCAGTAAAGTGTGATTGCTATTGTGATCTTATAACCGCTCGAAGACGATGCTAGAAATCTGAAATATACCAGTGAAGCGCCGCCGACTAAAATTAGTTCAGGATAGTTGAGTGACCGTATTATTAGGTCTAATCTTGGCGTCTCGAGTCTCATCCACCAACCTACAACACCAATCTACAAAGTGGACACGATGGTTATTTAACTTCGATAGTCCCGAGAAGCGAAAGTTGTCTTTTGGAGGAGTAGCTGACTCACTGTCTTAGCCAACGATGAGGAAGAATATAACCTTATGTTGTGCAGAAAGTTTTTGGGTAACTACTTGGCTATGGAACTTTGTAAAACTGTTACTGAGTCTTTAGAGGCCTTGTGAGTGCCGCCCAAACTTCCTTCTTAGACATTTTGTTATCAGGATAGAAAGCCTGAACCGTGATTGGACATCCGCGGAGTTTGTCGCCCTCCTTCAAGTCGTACCGCATGACGCGCATCTGCGATACCAGAACACTTGATTCCGTCCTCTCGCCTATGGGCACTTCCTCCCCAGTATCCCTCCGGTTCTTTCCTATCCAGTCGCCCATATCAACGCCTTTCTCTCTCCCTATACGGGAGCGAGGCACGAGGCAGATTTCCAAGTTTTGACCGTCAGTTGCGTAGCTCATGCGGGCGTTTAATCGCAGGTTAGACATCATACGCACGTTGGCATCAATGGGAAGTGGTGTTTCGACGAGTACGTTGGGTAGCTGTCCAACGGGAGGGACGGTAAGGATGCTGATGATGAGAGACTTGAGCTTAAAGAACTTTCCGAATCCTTCATATACAATTGAAAAAATGAGGTCCTGTTTCGTCTTAAGCATAGGTCAAGGCGCCTAAGGCAATGATTAAAGACATTAAAAAGTAGTGAATCAAACCGCCTGTTTTATGCTCTTAGTGTATATATAGCCAAACCCCATCACAAACGAATTACGTAGGAGCCAGCAAGGAGTGCACACTTTCAGACTACCAGACCTGATGCACAACCATAGCCTGAAGGGTGCAGAAGTGACCTGTAGAGGCCTCCGGGGCATGCTTATAATTACGTCGAGGTAGGACTGGGCCTTCCAGGGTCTCGAGGTAGATGGACTCATTGACGGAGATAGGGGTATGTTTCATTTATTACGTTAGTGGCCCACCACAGCTTAATCGGATCAAAGCCCAGGGCTATATTCAAAGCCCGATTGTGAAGTATTGCAGGGGTTCGTGATTTAACATGAGGGCAAGGCCTCGGCCTAATATAGCATATATACTCTCATGGAGCTATTCACTGTGTTGAGATGTCGGGTCTGGCACCTTCTATTACTGTTCTCAACTTGGTACTCAACCTCTCACCAGGATACTCTCATGGAGTTTGGTTATCGGCGGCTATTTCAGTCCGTGAAGCAGCCTCTATGAATAGCCTGGATCTCAAGCAGGAAGTAGACCGATGAATCGTACAAGTGTACTACGATCCGCCGGTGGCGAGTCCGGAGACGCTGGCGCCGACCTAGCCAAGAGCGAATCATATATAAAACCGCGGCAAGATAACCCACTTTTCAAACCACAACCGCGCTCTACTGATAACAACCCGAAGTACCGAGTAAATGGGGACGCCATTAGTAGTGACATGCTTCTTGGCGGACCTATTTTGTAGCTGAGCCGCTGCTCTTACTAGATTACTGAGATGGCTTACCCCACGGGGGCGGGCTTGGGGGTCCATCAACATGTAGCTTAGCAACTCATGGAAATCATAGCACAGAGATAACAACACAACGAGATGATATAAGTTTTGAACTACAAATATTCTAGATCTGCCGACGCTGGTTTGACCTATGCTCTACAATACACATCCCTCACCTCCTCTGGTTCCTTTCAACTGCTAGGAATTTTAACCTGAAAGGTACTTTGTGCTTGAAAATGGATGACCAACTCGAAGACTACAAGAAAGAGGATTTGGAGGCCGTCGTCTCGCACAATGGTAGGTGCTCTCACTTGTCCATTGGCTAAAATCTGGACTCATAAACATAGTAGTTATATACGGGGGGCAAGAAGAACAGCTCCGGAAGAATTTCAGTATCTGGTCGGTTCTCGGAATCAGCTTCTCTCTGGCCAACTCGTGGTTCGGTATCTCCACTGCCTTGGTTGCCGGCATCAATTCGGGTGGTCCCGTGCAGCTTGTTTATGGTATCATAATCGTGACAGTCGCATGTTCTGCGATCGGTGTGAGTCTTGCTGAGCTCGCATCGGCTATGCCAAACGCTGGCGGACAATATTTCTGGACCAGTCAACTGGCGAGTCCGCGGTATGCAAAGTTCACTTCGTATTTGACAGGTTGGATAGCCTGGGCCGGATCTCTCTTCACATGTGCAAGCATTGCTCTCGGCGTGGGCAATCTATGCATGGGTGCCATACAGATGGCACACCCAGAACTGTCAGTGCGAGCGACCCCCAAATCAAACTGATGCCCCGGCCACTTTGATACTGTGAAAGGCACCTGCTGACACTTAAATTCGAAGAGAGATCACGCCGTGGATGAGCTTCGTCGCCTATCAGGTCATTCATATCACTTGTGCCCTCTTCAACATCTCGAGTCGTGCTCTGCCAACTATAACTTTTGCAACGCTCTGGACGTCTATCATCTCGTTTCTTGTCATCATTCTCGTCGTGCCGATCAAAGCGCCCACCCATCAATCTGCTAGCTTCGTCTTTACGAAATTTGTCAATCATACCGGCTGGTCCAACGACGGAATAGCGTATATCGTTGGTCTGATTAATCCGAACTGGGCTTTCAACGGTCTCGACTGCGCCGTACATATGGCTGAGGAGGTTCCTAACCCCGCTAGAACCATCCCGATTGCAATTCTCGGCACCGTGGGAATAGGGTTTGCCACAGCTTGGCTCTTCTCCATTGGGATCATGTTTAGCATTGGGAACTTCGACGAGGTAGCCGCCACCCCGACCGGTGTCCCCATTCTTCAGCTCTTCTATCAAGCGCTGGAAAGCAAAGCTGGGGCCATCGTTTTGTTGTCCCTGATCATCTTAACGGGCTGTGGTTGCTTGATTGCTTCACACACCTGGCAGGCCCGCCTGTGCTGGTCATTTGCACGAGATAACGGTCTGCCAGGCTCACACTATCTCCGACAAGTTCACCCTGAGCTTCGTGTGCCTCTCTGGGCACACATTGTGAGCTGTGTCATCGTGAGCATTGTCGGCTGTCTGTACTTGGCTTCCTACACTGCATTCAACAGCATGGTGACAGCTTGCGTTGTGTTGCTTTACGCATCATATGCGATACCGGTTGTCTGTTTGCTCCTTCGCGGTCGCAACACCATTAAACAAGGTCCCTTTTGGCTTGGCCGACTTGGCCTCGTCTGCAACATTGTTCTGCTGCTATGGCTGGCGTTTGCTCTTGTGGTGAGAAACTTGTCTCGAGTTCAGCATCACTTTGTTTTTCCATCTCTTGCTAATGTCTTCCGCTGCAGATGTACGCGTTCCCTCCCGTCCAACCCGTTACTGGAGATAATATGAACTATGTCTCAGTCGTGTACGCCATCACAGGAGTAATAATCATCGCATGGTGGTACGCTCGCGCCCGAAAAGAATACGATCCTGCCGACGTCAAATATTAGGGCCATCCCCAGCTATAGTGGGTAGCAGTTAGGGATTACTAGCAAGATAAAGCTTCGCTCATTATATTTGGGCGCGGCCTTGTCTAGGTCGGCATTGGGGGTTTGAATCGGGAGTTTGACGGTGAAACTACGAAAGCCTTTATGAGACAAAGAGTAGCATAGTCGACCTGCCTTAGGCAATTATCAGATATCCTTTATTACAACTTACGTCCGACCTAAAGCTCGCTATTACGTAGTTCCTGAGGGAGAATCACTGCAACGACAGTCGAAATCCTTAGCGGATTTTAGAGTGCTCATAACTGAACATAGGCATACGCCTAAAAGAAGATATTTGTCTATACTAGGGAGTCTCTATCTAGTTTAGGTACTTTTTCTGTATGAGTCTCTACTCTTTGCTAGTTGCTAACTCCCCTGCCCCCTGTGTAATATAATCAACCCCAAAAAACGGGCCATCAGAGACTGACTCAGGCTTGATAAACATGGAGCCAATGACAATGTTTTCCGCGGTGACCCACCCTTTAGCATTCCCAAAATGATCTTCAGAGTTTCCCAACTCACCCCCTCTTGTCCTTTCAAATGTCTCCAGAGGTGCTTCGTGGCTGGCTTACATACTCTAGACAACGAGGCCGAGTTCCGATTTAATGCTGCCGCAAGGGTCAAAGACACAACCCTTGACTCCGGAATAAGTGTTACTCCGTCTACTCCAACTTGCAATCTCGTTCCATCATAGGTTTCATTTGACTATACTTCGTCATTATGTCAGTCACACGTACTTACATAGGGAAGACGATTTTGTATTAATGAGTTACTGACCGCATATCACAAGCTTCCAGTCATAAATAAGCTCGACTCTTTCATTTAATTGCTAACGATTGCTATTCGTCCATGGCTTCGCTGGCGCTAAAAGAAAATCCCACGCAGGGCTGCCAAGCTCGTCAGCCAATCTTGAGGGTCAAGACCGGATGCCTGACCTGCCGCGGCCGGAAGAAGAAATGCGACGAGACAAAGCCTGTGTGTGTTGGCTGCGAACGCAACGGCTTTCAGTGCGAGTGGCCATCCGGAGCGACCAGTAGTGACAGGAGGGCGCACAAGCGAAGGAGAGACGCTCGATCAGACCAAGACTCCTCCTCGTCGGCCTCAACATCGAAAGGAACCCATGGACACGCTGTTGGCGACCATCACAAGCTTCCTTCTTTCGACCGCCGCTGTACACCCGATCGTGTTGACACTGCAACGGGCACTGGCGCAGAGGGCGAACAGTCGACAATCACACCCAGCGCACACGAAGTTGACTGGCCCCTCGGGGAGCTTTTCGCCACGTCATGCGACCCGAGGCCTTCTTTGGCGTTTGCATCGAGCCAAAGTTCAGCGTCTACAGGATCTGGTAGATCTCCCGGTACAACAGCATCCACCGGCTCGCCCGCCAACAGCACCGTGGAGAAAGGGGAAACGCAGCCAACCGAGTACGATCCGGGACCGTCGGACTTTGGTGGTTTCGATATCATAAATACCAAGTCAACTTCGATCGCCGAGCGCCGACCAGTCATATCGTCCGAGGAGAACTTTGCTTTGGATCTCAGTATGGCGGCTTTTGCGGTAGAGAGCACCAACGCGGCGCCGGACATCGTACCTCTAAGCATGCCTTTGCTATCCGATGCTCAGGGACCAACATATGACCTTTTGAGCTTTTACATTTCCCGGACGGCTCGGAGTATGGGGAATGGGTCTACCGAGACTAATCCTTTCGTTTCCCAACTGATCCCCCTGGCGTTCGCGAACAAATTCATACTAGGTCTGGTCCTGTGCCAGAGTGCTGTGCATCGGGCAACAGAGGATACTAGCCAATTTGCAGTTGCTCAAACGTACTACAACAAGTCGTTACGATCATTCCGCCAATCGATCGATGAGTATATCAGCGGTCAAGAGGTCAGCCCGCTGTGGCTGGCTTTGGGCGCTTTGATCATGTGCTTTACAGAGGTGAGTTCTTCCTGTAAAGCTTCTTGTACTCAGATAATGCAGAGTTACGGATTGCGCGAGTTGTGTGCCATTTGAGGAGTATCAGAGGCTGACTTGTGGTCAGACTGCCAAGGGCGATTTGCACGGTTCAATTTTTGACCACATTGAGGCAGCGGGCCCTTTATTGTCACGTCTGATGACGCACTCGGCGAACCTACCAAATGACCTCAAGAACTTCATTGTCGAGTACTATGTTGACCTAGTGACTATTAGCATGATATCAGTGGACCCCAGCTTTGGGTCAACTCTTGTCTTGGACTCTCAGTTTGAAGTAATGGCGGAGGCAATGGTCAAGGACGGCTACGTAGGACAGCTGTGTGGTACCTGGCTGGAACTACTTTTGCTAGTTCCCCGGATCTTCGACTTTGCGCGGCTGTCAACCTCTACCATGGCAGCCGACAGATTTATAGTCTTCTCCGACTTGCAGAGTCGGATCGTATCCTTCACACCATCAGCACCAAACCCCCCCGAATCCGTGCTCTGTGGTTACATCTTCAAGCATGCCGTCCATATCCTCCTCTTGACTGCATTAAACTTGGGCCACAGTCCCGAAGGGCAAGCCAAACAGCATGTTGACAACTGCGTAACGGAAGCGTTTGAGGTTCTGCTTCAGCTACCCCCTGACGCGAGAATCAACACCAGTCTTTGCTGGGCTATGGCCGTCATCGGCAGCTGCGTCTGTGATGATATCAGGCAAACCGAATTGAGTAACCGGCTTACCGCCATGTATGTAGCAGTTGGACTGGGCAATATTCGCGCTACGCGTATCCTTCTGCAAAAGATATGGAAACTTCCTCTGACGGAACGAACTCCATGGATCATTAGTCGGGTCATGCGCGAGAACGAAATATGGATATCATTCGTCTGACATTCAGAGAGAAGAATTCGTCGGTCCGTTGTTTTCCATTGTATGTATTACGACTTGGTACAAGATCAACAGTTCCACAGTACCCTGCCGGACCCCAAATCTTCCCTTCCCGGGCATCGTTCAACCGTGCCTCTCCTTGACATGGTAGCTCTTGAGCTTGAAGAATGCATCGTAGGCACGTGGACCAAGGGTACATCCCAGGCCCGACTTCTTCCAACCTGTCCAAGCCAAGTCCTAGAAACCGTCAGTCAGCACAGCGCATGAAATTGAACAACACAAAAGTAGCTGCGTCAGGCAATACTCACAGGGTTGGGGTAGTCGCAACGGTTGACGAAGACTGTGCCGGCTTCTAGATGCTCGATCAACTCTTCGCCGCGCGAGATGTCTTTAGTCCATATGCTGGCCGTCAAGCCGTACTCGCTGTCGTTCATCAACCTTATAGCCTCCTCGTCGTTTGCTACCTTTGCAACCGGGATGACAGGTCCAAAGGTCTCCTCCCGCATCACCTCCATGTCGTGTGTGACATTGGTCAAGATAACAGGGGCCATATAGTTCCCGCTGGTCGGCGCTGAACGGAAACTGGCATTCTCTGGTGTCACATCAACAGCGCCTTTTGCCAACGCATCGTCGATCTGCTGTCGGATAGCTTTCTGGGCTTGTCGGGAAACCACCGGTCCCACCATCGTCTTCTCGTCAAGGGGATCGCCGAGAACGTATCTATCAGCGCACCGTGGTTAACTCATGTTGATCATCTAGAGTAGCCTATGTTTACCAGGCCTACTTACCCCTTGAGTTCTTCCTGGAGAGCCACAATGAATGCGTCATGGACATCAGCATGAACGTAGATACGCTCAATGGCGCAACAGCTTTGACCGGCGTTGAAGACAGCACCGTCCACGAGCTCTGCAGCTACATATTTCAGGTCCGCATCCGCCCGAACGTATGCGGGATCGTTTCCTCCCAGCTCAAGGTTTACAGGAATAGTCTGCTTGGCGACAGCCTCCCGGATGGCTAGACCGCCAGCAGTAGAGCCCGTGAAGCCCACGGCAGCTATTTCTGGGAGTTGGGCCAGCTCGCGCAGCATGCCAGGGTCCCCAGACTGAATCAGTTGCAGAACATCCTCGGGAAGATCGGCCTCCTTGAAGATGGCTGCGATGCGCTCTCCCACGAGGGGTGTCTGGGGTGAGGGCTTGAGGAGCACCGTGTTTCCCGCCAGTAAGGCAGGCACAAGAGCGTTGACGATGATGAGGTAGGGGAACTGGACGAAGCAACGAGTTAACGACTTGAGTTTCTCGTGTTGTCCTCAGGGAGATTGCAGTCGAGATTTCAATCGAGATTGGAACCAGGCTGGATGATTAAACTTACGTTCCACGCGAAGACGATGAGCACAGGCCCCACGGGAACCTTCTTGACCTCACGCTTGAACCCAGCTTCAGGACGCCCGGGCAAAGGTGACAAGGCCTCTTCAGCAAGATCGAGCAGGTAGTCGGCTCGCTTCTGCATAGTCTCAATTTCTTTGTGGCTGAAAGAGATCGGGCGCCCCATCTGCTCCGACAACTCGCGGCCGAGGTCGAAGCGGCGCTCTTGGATCAACGCGAGAGCCTTTTCCACAATCACTTTGCGCTGAGCAAGAGAGACCTGGCGCCAGCTCTCGAACGCCGTCTTAGACCTCTGCGCTGCCTTTCGGGCATCCTGGATCGTAGTGGCGGGGCGCTCGCAGACAACTTTGTTGGTGGAAGGCGAGATGGTCTTAATCGTAGCGCTGGACATGTTGGGCGACTTGTGATGACGATTGGAACAAACGTTGTGCTGCGTAGCTTTCAGCCGATGTTGGTATCACAGCTGAGTTCAAGAATCCAACATAGACTACACAAGGAACAGTATTTGTATTTACAAACGGCAGATAGTAAAGAGATGCAGATGAGAAGAAGTCCAGTGAGCAGTGTGAATAACAGACGGGCTACACTGCTCCAATGCATCAGAAACACCACCCTCTATTCCAAATCACATGTCGCCATATACTAGTGATGAAAAGATGTGGGTTGTTTTCCAATGTGTAGGACCAACTTAGCAAGCATTACATCGCGAAAACCTTGAAGAGCGCGCCATATCCCAACCCTTTCCTCGTGCGCTTGTTGTGAGGCCTCGCCAACACCACAAAGTAGAATCACATCAGAGCGCGCGATGCGCGCGCCTAACCTAATAAGCAAGTAGACTTTTGATGCTGATCATCTAGTGGGCCAGTAACTAGTTACTGCGAGGTCGGATCATGGTCAAAGACCGCGCTCTCCACAGCCACCGGCACGATACGGAGAATGCAAGGTCATGCAAATGTACTCCACTCACCTGGACGCGGATAATTTGTAGGAACCGATAGACATGGTGGAAAGGTCAAGTTATCTGGTTTCTGAGTCGTTTCGGTAGAGGAGCTGCAGTGTGTGTAGTAGTCCCGCACCTTGGTGTATCTTGGGAAGATTTCATGCGTCGAGATTCCTGAGCACTCGCCGAGCCAGGACTATATCAGTTCACTATTAATCCACTGCTTGTCTGACTTATTCCGGAACAGCAAGCATATTTTCAAGTAACAATATTGCCTCGTCTACTATTTCTTGCTACCCCTAGACATATATTACCTCCTCTATCTCTCAATCCTACGAGTATCTACGCTCATACCAACATACCCATCATGGTCGGCCGACTTGCTGGAAAGAATGCCATTGTTACAGGAGCTGCCGGGTAAGTCATAGCCACCAGGGGGGAACTCTTCAGCTCTTGGGCTGGCGGCTGACCAGTCTCGACGTGGTAGCGGCGTTGGGCTCGAAACCAGTATTCTGTTCCTCCAGGAAGGTGCTTCCGTCTTGATGACCGATTTGAATCAGGAGGGCTTGGAGAAGGCCCTTAGCAAGGTCAAGAGTGTGGTCCCAAACCACAACGGCAAGGTCGCTGTCAAGGCTGTCGATGTATCCAAGGAGGACCAAGTCGAGGCTGCCGTCAATGAAGTGGATTCTTGGGGTGGTGTTGATGTTATGTTCAATAATGCTGGTATTATGCACCCCAAGGATGGTGATGCCGAGGAGTGCCCAGATAACATCTGGGACCTGACTATGAACATCAACGTCAAGGGAGTATGGTACGGGTCCAAGCATGCCGTCCGCTCCTTGCGCAAACACAATAAATCTAAGGGCAGCATCATCAACACAGCTAGCATGGTAGCTATTGTTGGGGCTGCAACACCTCAACTGGCGTATACAGCTAGTAAAGGTGCCGTGCTAGCTCTCACACGTGAGCTTGCCGTGGTTCATGCCCGCGAAGGCTTCCGCTTCAACTCCTTATGCCCTGCACCGCTCAAGTACGTATGACCCTACAGGTCGATCATTCCGGACTCAAGACAAACAAGCTAACAACTCGGACAGCACTCCTATGCTACAGGATTTCCTTGGAACCGACCAGCATAAGCGTCATCGCCGAGAGGTTCACTTTCCTACCGGCCGCTTCGGCCAAGCGATTGAGCAAGCCCAAGCCGCCCTGTTCCTCGCTTCAGATGAGAGCAGCTTCGTGATCGCTCATGACTTGGTTGTCGACGGAGGTTTGACCAAAGCTTACGTCACCGCCGAGGGCCCGGCCCAGACTGGACCTCCTAATCAGGGACAGTAAGGTCGTGTAGGATGTGCTCTACAAGGGTTGATAGCATAAGAAAGGCTATAGCCAACCAGAAGTAGCATAAATTAGAGCATCTCACGTTCCCAAGTTGGTGTAGACAACATTTCTGAAAGAAAAAGATTTAAAAATCATACTTAGGGCTCCGTTTCTAAAAGGGTTTACACTTCATTTTGGTCATATCTTACGTGCTATTGGCCTGTCTCTTGTGGCGCATGAAAAGATAATTCTGCGAAATTCTTAGCAAGGAACGATGGCGATCGTGGAGCCAAGAGTGCCTAGTCTGCACAATTCTTGGTGCGCAGCCACTGAGCCATCCATCTCGGACTCAGCGGATGAGATTGTCAGCTGTCAAGATATGGAGTCGATTGGGATCTTACGACACAGAGTCAGATGTTAACTTCCACCTACTACCTCCGTATTTGCAATAAGGTAACAGCATTTCCAAGAGCTATTTACAAGGACTAGGACATGATGTGGGAAAGTGGGCTTCCAACTTCCGTAACCCACCCGTACTCCAGAAGGGTTCGATTCAAAACCACATTTTCCGTAGACGTAGCTGATCCTACTTGAAAAGCAGACTAGGCTATCGCTGTAAAAGCAAATTAGTGACCTCGGAGAAATGGCGTCTTAGTTGAGTGGATGTAGGCAACTCAGGCACCGATCACAAAGCCATGCATAGTAGATACGGAAGACCGCGGTCCGTCTCCTTGGGGGTCCTGGCGGAATTTAGCGCGGTACGTATATGCTCCTGGCAAATAGCCGCGACCCCGTATTAACCCCAGACGTTTCTTTAGCTCGAAGACTGCCCGGGCTGGTATCTCAGTGGCGACTAATATCACGCAGCGCGCAGTGATCTGACTCAAGTCAAATCCGCTTTCAATGGAGTAAGTTAGATCCCCAAGCAACACGCCAGCCCATTCACCCATCCAACGGCAGATCACATGGGGCAATCATCCCATTCGGTCGAATCTTCTAAAGAATCAGAAAGACCACCTCTTGTTGATTCCCCTTGAAGCTGCCAACGAATCATAACTGTTCATTGTTCCCCCGATCTCACCTTAACTACCTATCGCGGTTTTTCAACGGGCTGTTGCGTGCACATTCATCACAACTTCACCTGGCGTGTGAGATCATTTCACATAATGCACGATTCCCCAAGTGGTGGTTCGGCTCCTCAGCAAATCAACATGGTCGTCACACGTGGCCAAGGGGAAGGCGACCACAGCCAAGCTGCCGAGATGTACAACATTGCGGAGCTGCTCAAGTCCGATTCCAAAGTCAAGGTGGCGGGTGTTGATTTTGACGGCATCCTTCGAGGTAAAATCATGTCTAAAGACAAATTCTTGTCTAGCATTAAAAGTGGCTTTGGCATGAGCTCGGCAATTTTTGGCTGGGACATGCATGATGTTTTGTACGAAACCAGTAATACCATCACAAGTTCAGAACAAGGCTTCTCAGACATAGTTGCAGTCATTGACCTAGCCTCTATGCGGAGACTTCCCTCTGAAGATAACATTGCCTTCTTCTTTCTCCGATTCTTGATCCACGGTCAGCCTGTCTGTGCTGATGGGCGTGGCATCATGGCTGCTCTAGATTCAGATTTGGCACTTTCAGGGGTAAAAGCATTAGCTGGTGGTGAGTTCCTTCGAGTCATGGTATCGGGCCTTTGCTGACACGTCTTCTATCTAGTTGAGCTGGAGTTTTTCAACTTCCAGACACCGTCGCAAGATGGATACAGCCCTGGCAGACGGGACTTGGCATCGTATCTGCAATCTCACGCCGTCAATCAGCTGAGGCCACTAACTGCCGGCATGTTCGGCTATAGCATCTCACGACCGGTTATGAGCAAAGGATATTTCCATGACATCTACGACAAGAGTCTGGAAGCGGGATGCCCGATTGAGGGATGGCACACAGAGAGTGGCCCGGGAGTATACGAGGCGGTGCGTTCCAATTCCTGCCGCAACAGCCACTTCTTGATCATTCCTACTGACATTGTACTTAGGCCTTGAATTTTGCGCCAGCATCGAGGATGGCCGATAACGTTACACTATTCAAGTGAGTCTGCGTTTCAAAACCTCTCGCCTACACTACTGACTCTAGATCAGGCTGCTGACAAGATCAATTGGCGTGGAGCACGGCATCACACCTTGCTTCATGGCAAAGCCCATTGAAGGATTGCCGGGCAATTCCGGACATATCCACGTCTCCTTACAAGATGAGGGTGGCAGAAACCTCTTTGCAAGAGCATTGAGGGACGAGAATGCCCCATGGCCCGACGTAGAATACCTGTCGGATAACGGACGGTCGTTCCTAGCTGGTTTACTGCAAGCACTGCCAGACATCATGCCCCTCTTAGCCCCCAATGTCAACTCTTACAAGCGTCTGATCGAGAATTATTGGGCGCCAGTGACCCTGGGCTGGGGTCTTGAGGATCGACTTGCAAGCATACGACTGATCGCGCCGCCGGTGTCAAAGCCGGCTGCGACTCGCTTCGAAGTCCGCATTCCGGGTGCCGACCTCCACCCTCACTTTGCCCTAGCCGCCATTTTTAAATCTGGATGGTACGGTGTACAAAACAATGCACCTTTGACCCTCCCTCCCACTACTCAGCTTTCGGAGGGACAGAAGCCGCAGCGCCTCCCCAACACGCTGGAGAGTGCGTTGGAGCGTTTTTCTGCCAAGGATAGCATGGCAAGGAAGATCTTCAGCGACGAATTTGTAGAGGCATACACTATCTCTCGTAATCATGAGCTAAAGGTGTGGCGCGAGGCCGTAACCGATTGGTAAGTTTTATATTCGGAAATAGGTATGCGAAGGCCGTCGTCCCTAACATCTTGCAGGGAGTTTAAGAGATATATTGAGACCGTCTGAACATATGACCGTGAACGCTTAGTGTTGGAAGGCTTGAATCGCTTACTGCTGATCAACCCAATACAAAGGGCTGCGCACCCGAAAAGCAACCAGGCTCCGGCTTTCTACGGACTGAAATCATTGTTCGAAGATGTGATCTTAAAATAACCAGTACCTTTATGGTAATATATAAACTAGCTTACGACCGCGTCCTTATCTATTTGTTTCCCTTCATCTGTAAGACTGTAGCCGAACACTTAATGTTCCCTCGATAGTATACGCTATAACTTTTAGGTCCGTAAGACTGTGTCACAGTGGCAATGTTTCGCAGCCATCCCCGGAAGATCTATAATACAAGTACCCATCTTATGGGAGCGTACATGTGTTATTGACTCTCACATTCCCTCACCCTGGCCCAGTACATTCTGCTCGGCCGGTGAGGTCGGACCCACCGTGGCCGGTGCAGGTCCTTAAAAGATCGGACGACCCCGACGAGGAGGCATTTCTTGTTCATTCACACTACACTACACTTCCTCAAGCCATTACCCCCTCAGGGCCTTCTGTCTCCAGCAATGTCTGCTCAGAATATCTCCACCAGCAACGCAGCCCCAGGTGAGTCCAGCCCCTGGAATCCGCTTCGCGAAGCAAATCAGTATGGGACAATTCTTACTAACATGTACCAGCTGTGGGACCTTATGTAAGTTCGACGTTGCTCGACAATGTTCAGGCGCTCGCCAGACCATAGCTCACAGCTGCAGAGCCAAGGTGTAGCAATTCCCGCGTCGGCCAGCCTCATCTTCACCAGCGGTCAACTCCCAGCCGAGCAGAGCGGCAAAATCGACCTTTCCCAGCCTGTGGGTGTTCTAACTGAACGATGCATCGCCAACATCAAAGGTATTCTTGAAGCAAGTAACTCGGGAATAGACAAGGTCATTAAGGCGACTGTCTTTCTCACCAGCATGGACTCCTTTGCCGAGGTGAACCAAGTCTACGAGAAGCATTTCTCCCACAAGCCTGCGCGCAGCTGTGTTGCTGTCAAGGAACTGCCAAAGGGCGTCCCCGTGGAAATCGAGGTTATTGCACTTGCGTGAGGTGTCAATTCTCATGGACTCAACCGGCCAATAAGCTAAGAAAAATGACACAGGAGTCGGTAGATCTGTATGAACGGGGAAGTAGGTAGTCGTGGTTAGTGGGCGGGTTGGTCATTCAGAACCAAACAATGGGGAAAAAGCACTGAGCCCTCTGCCCATACCCCAACGTATTCTTTCCAGTTTGTGATATTGTTTCGTTTCACTGGGATACAACGTAACGATTACGAAACAAACTAAATAAACCCCTGCATTTTCTTTTCCTTTCTATTTTTCTTCTCGCTTCACAAGTGAGGCTTTCACGGAATGGCATAGTGCACCTAAATTACATGTAAATATTGTTCAAGAAGTGATGGATGTCCAGGGTAACTCTAGACCATTGACAGCACCTCACTCATTCTTTAGCGCACAGATTTGGCTACCCCCTTCTTCTACTTACTGGATTTAGTGTAGCTCGACTGTGGAGTTCAACGCAAGGATGAGCCCCTTTCCCTTATCAGGCAAAGTGTAAGAATCGAGGCGCGGTATTAGTTCTGATTCGTTGAGCTAGTACCCATATGTACCCACTCAATCGTCTCTAGTGCGACGGCTATCGAAGACGTCTCCTTGTCGTTCAAGTTAGACATGGGACAACTTAGCGAGCGGCATACAGCTGGGTTCAAGACTAACACAACACCTAGATGATGATCTAGCGGCCTCCAAATCGTACATGCCATGCTTATGTGTAGAAAATGTGTTTTAGTGTTGCAGCTCGGTTTTCGACATGGCTTAGCCTTTCGCGCCAGAGTTACCACCGATTGCCTCGGGCGCCTTTGGTACCTGTATGGTGATTAGCCAGACGGTCGATTCTATCCGCAACGAGAGGAAATGACAATTGAGATCTGAAGGTGGACTGAAGTTACGCCAAAAGATGACATGAGCTTCTTTACGCGTATGTCGCCACCGTGATGTTTCTTTTTAAGTTATATTCTATCTAGCTATATTTCGTTTTCGTATACATTCTGTAATTGTATCACGGCGCTGTGCGCACGACCTATCCTCCATCACCAGCCTTTCCACGGTATCCATGTTTCTTGAACAACGTCGTTCTCATCTACAATGAAATAAACCTGAAAGGCAGCAGCCGTAATGCAGATGTGGTTACAGTATATATGCAACCTCTGTCCAACCTTGAAAGTTACATCAGCCCTTTCGATACCTTTATCATCAGTCACCAGGCCCAAGATGCCGTGTTCTTGTGACATGCGAGTAATGCCCCATCTTGGATGTCCGACAATCCTCCCAAATCCGGGATATGCTGGACTTGTCTCCCTGGATAAGGACGTGACGCCTGCATTGACTAGCGCCTCGTTTCTCTCCTCATACACGCTGCAGACATCAACAATCACGCGACCAGCTTGATCTTGCTCTGTGACCACACCCGTCGAGACTTGTTGGAGATCGTTGCAGGGAAAGTTACCGGCGTGTAGCTCTATCTGCACGTTCTCGGGCGCCTTGGCCTTGAGACTCTTGATGACGTGGGCCGTGGGTGTGGCACCAAGGGACAGAACCACCTTGCGGTCACTAGGAAGCAGCGCAGCTGCACCCAGAAGGCTATCAATCTCGACTTTTAGCATGTCTTCGGCCTCTCTCCGAGTGCGACCTCCGTAGGAGTGATTAGCGTGGCAGTAAAAGCCGTATATAGACATGGCTGGGCTGGCACTGGCGCGTTGTATAAGCCTCTCGAGCACAGGGCTACTGGGATCGACACCAGCACGTCGAGCACCGACATCAAGCTTTATGAAAACTTTCCACGGCTTGCCATGACCCGCTTCCTCCAACAAGTCAATCTGTTGCTCATTGTCTATGATGAGGATGATTTCAATATGCTGGCGCAGTTGAACAAGCTCCGGGAGTACACTTGGGTAAATAGGAAACCCGTATACACACTCCAGATTGATTAGCGACATGGTGTATATTGTTGACCGACACATTGGAACCTACCTCATCCAGAATACCTTCTGAGACTAGAGGCAAGCAACCTTTGATCTCGGTAACCGTTGATGCTACAATTGAGCGGAATTTCTCCCCGGCCAACATCAATCTCGTCATCTCGAGTGTCTAGACTTGCTATTAGTATTCTGCCCTCCCACGGAGCTCTTTAGTCACTGATTTCCGCACCTTCAGCGTTTTGACATGGGGTCGGAATGCGATTTCAAGATCTTCGACATCTTGAAGTAGGGCCTCCGTATTGCGTTTTAGGATCGGTAGGCTGAGAACCAGAGACGGCGAAGGCAGTTCAGCCACAGAGCGACCAATGTACGACTTGCGATGTTCCAATGCACGATCCATCTTGTATCAAGGGAGCGGCGATTAGTAGAAGCGCAAATCAATCCTGAGATTGCACTCTTTCAAGGGTTATTAGAAGTGCAGATTTTTGAAGTGCAGTTAAAAGGTTAGTCTCGGACACCACTCAACAGGGAACGATTATGAAGTTCTCCTCGTACTCTCGCCGGTGTTTTTACTCACCACGTGGGGGCTGAGAACTTGTTGGTGACTTTAGTGGCTGGCTAAGTCCGAGAGATGACTCAATTTCACTCGCCTTTTCCCCGGCCTTGGGCTAATTACAGATTCTATGTCGAGATTCCCCATATAACGTAGGCGGAATTCCATTTGATTAGGCGAGCGAAGTGAATCAATCCCCACTTCATATTCTGACTAGTCAGGTTAGGAGACTCACCCAACCCCATGGCCGGCTTGTTGCTCACCAACCTATCGCTTTATCTGTTAGGCGGTACCATATACATTGGGATTCTAGTGTGAAATGTTAGTCGAATCCTACCACACGGTTTTCCTCGCGCCGCTTATAATCACAGCGCGATCCGCGCGGCTCTGAGCTCAGCCCGCGTTACCCCATGCATATACCGCGAAACTCCTCCTGCCCTGCCACTGATGAGACAAAACGGAGACCCAATATAGGTACCTGATCTTGTGGAGGGTGGCTCTGAGCTGGAGAGGCAACCACGCAGTCCACTTCCATGGTCTGTCCTCCCCAAGTCGCGATAAGTAGCCATAGGTGCTTCTGATACTGCGTTCTGGATGATCCCTTCCAAAGTCGTATCAGTACGTCGCAAAGCCAGCATTATCACTTGCTTCCACGATTGTATTTTCTCTTCAATATGGTGCCGTACCGTGTAGCGGTTCTGGAATGCGATACGCCGATTCAGCCTGTTCTGGAGGCAGTAGGCAACTACGGCAAGATATTTGAGTCGTTCTTGAAGAAGGGCCTTGAAGCTGCCAAGCATGACGACGGAATAGATGGCGCAGACGTAGACCTGCGGGTGACTATGACGAACGTGGTCAACTTCGAAGAGCTTCCCGAGCCTGACGATGTCGACGCCGTCTTGTTGACTGGAAGTAGTATGGCATGCACTCCAATCATCGCATCGACTGAAGTACGTATGGCTAACGGAATAATACTTTAGAACATAACGCATACGAAGATCAACCTTGGATTATTCGAACCGTCGACTACGTCAGGCGGCTATACGAGAAGCACAATGTTCGTATTATCGGCATATGCTTCGGGCATCAGATCATTGCCCGCGCGCTGGGAGTCGAAGTGAGGAAAAATACGGGTATGTGGGAAGTCTCCGTTGATCTTATCGACCTATCGCCCGAAGGACAGAATATATATGGCGTCGAACATTTGGTCAGTAAAACATATGCTCACTTCCTGTTGTCATGGACATTGGATAGTTATTTACGCTCCGGGATTGAAAGGCACTTCATCAAATGCATCAGGACATTGTGGTCGGCTTGCCTAAAGGTGCGATGAACATTGGTAGTAGCCCCGTGTGTGAGGTTCAAGGCCTGCATATTCCAAATCGTGTCTTCTCCCTGCAAGCCCATCCAGAATTCAGCGAGTTCATAATGCTACAATTGCTCAAGTTGAGGCATGAACAGAACATCTTCTCGGATGCCCTCTATGATTCCGGCATCGAACGGGCATCAAGGCATCATGATGGGTTATTGGTCGCTAGGGCCATTTGGAAGTTTTTGCTTAGCAACAAAACTTAACCAACGAGGGCCTAAAAGTGGTGTTCATACACTTCGAAAGTTTTAGGACTACTTGTAGTTGATTGTATTAGATAAACACGCAGTGTAGTGTACATAAGCGGACGTACTGGAGCTATCCTATACCCTCACCTGTTCGAGTTGTGGCTCCGAAGGCATGTGCAGATTGGACTTGCGACATTGGGACAGGACTGGTACGTTGGACTAGCTGTAGATATGCGTCCAAGTCATACATAAGATGTCAAAGCTAAAACATTTATGTTTAGATGTGCACAATCTATCTACTATCCTTTCTTGATAAGCAGACTCTAAATTGCGCCATTGATTATGGTCTTAGGAGCTACCTTGGTCTTCGGCAATCAATATTCCTGGATAGCGTCTGTGGCAAACATTGGTTATTTCTTAGGGTCATCCATCCAACTTCTGCCTTTACAAGTACCCCATTGGCAAGTTCATATTGATCATGCTCATCGCTTGGGGCATCCGTCTTGTTGCTATGATCGGCGCGAAGAACTTTGCTGCTTATCATGGCATTGCTCTTTTTGCTTAGAGCCTTGGGAGTAGATATAAATCCTGTGTGGATGTTCATTATTGGTATGTTCTAGACTCAAAATGGACAGCTATAGAGGATGTGTACTTGGCTTGGATGCAACGGTGTCTCCCTAATGTTAGGTTCTGGAATCCCATGGGGACTTTGCCATGCTCACAATGCTGCTCTTGAGTCTTGGAAATTGGTGTTTGTCGTAAGTCAGACCTGTCCTGCCTATTGGCAAAGGACAACTAATTTTGGTTGATCCAAATCCTTGGTGGAATTACACTGGCAGTCGGCTACGTCTCGATCATCCTCTTCCCATCCAGCCCACTTGACTTCAAACTCTTCACTTATGAGGAGAAGGTGGCTTCTGTTTATGATTTCTTTAAAGTTTGTTCTGCCTTTTGCTCTATTGAAGTTTTAACTTTATTGTGTTGTAAGTTTGCAACTCTATTGTGTTTTGACTCTATTATTGTAACTTTATTGTGTCTTGACTCTATTATTGTTTTACTTTATTGTGAGAATTCTCCGCTGGTACTCTATTTAAATCGAACTTCTGTCGCTTTCTCCTCTTCTCCCTCCTTCATATCGACCTAGAGCCTTCACCATGTCTTCATGCCGCGATATAGACCCATCCGAGGCAGCGACATATTCGATCGCCTCGCCCGAAAATACTAGTATGGCCAGTCGATCCCTATCGGCCTCTAGTCTCGAACGGGAAAATGACACATCTATCATGCGCCAAAATTTGAGTATTCGGGCTGTAATTTCGACACATTCTTCGTTTGCAGACAGGGACAGGCACCAGGAGGCCCTCCAGCATTTAGTCCAGATTGGCGAAGGATTACAGGGTACAATTTTCGAGCAAGTAGGAACGGCTCTAGTGATTAAGAAAGAAAGCCCACGGAATGAATCCCGACCAACACGACTACACAAGGAGTACCACGCGCACGGCCACATCTATCTCGCATTCCAGCAGTTTGGAACAGCCGTGTCGAACGTCGTCTTTGTCCCACAGCCTAGTTCTCTCAAGACCCCAAAAGATGACGCTTTTTGGATTACGACCATTGACAAATTTCCCGACGAGTACAGAGTAAAAACGACGGTCTTCACAATGGATCGCATCCTGCCGCTGCCTAAGATTGTCCGGAAAGCCCTCATTTCACTCTTTTATCCTCGTCCTGAGGGACAAACATCCGTCGACCAAAATACAATTCAACGCGTGCTCTTGGACGAACCCAACAAGCATTGCCTTGCCCGAGTGTACCTCGGCAAGAAGTCTCACAATTTCAAGCAAAATAACTTCTCGCTCCGAAACTTCCCTCTTTGCCTGGACGCAATGCAGCGTTTTGGGCTTGAAGTCAACGAAATGGCTTACTCCATGGGCAAAGCCTACGCGACAATACAATGGGGAGCCGAGTTCGATGCGGACGATGTCGAATTTGTTCTTGGTACCCTGATGACAAATACCAAAGCTCCTCCAAGTACTAAGGCTCCTACCAACTTTCAGGAACGGGCCGTTCGCCTTTGTCTCTTGGACTTTGGACAGTGCCAAGCCGTCAACATGAACCGAGACGCCGAAGACGTGTATAGGTCATTCTATGGGGCACTTGTTCTTGGAGATAATCAATGGTTTATTCCCCATTGCCATCGGGACAAAGAGCTCTTCAGACACTTCCGTAATGGGTATGTTGAGGCTGGAAATGCTATCCTAAAGGTGAAGGGATGGGTTGGGAAGTTCGATATGGAGGACTTTATGGATGGTTATGAAGAATACGCTGAAGACTTCCTAGTGTAAAGTTCTAATCATGCCGGGATAGGTGGTTATAGATGAATCTAGTTCGGTATTATGACTCAAATCCATCTTTCTTGTTTGCCCTTTATTAACATAGGAAGTATCCGCTTGTTTGCTCTGCCCGACACTCGTTTTACTGCTTTCTTTCTGACATGGACCACTGATTGAGGTATATCCTGGCGAATGGGCTTATCCCATTCCCCCTCATAGGCAAGCAATAGAATCTTGATCTTTACGGTATCAGGTCCACTTCCATAGGATTGGACTAGTTGGCAGAGCTCCTGGATTAACGAGAAGTCCTCGCCATCAAGAGATGAAGATGAACACTGCGCGGCCGCCAGATCCAGAATGAGGTAAATATGCCCCTTGAGGCCTGAAAGAAGGTGAACCAGAAACTCGAACCACTCGTCAGATGTCTTCGCCGAGTGATACTGCATGTAGTGTAATGATAGGCTTTTCTCGGTTTGCACGGCAGTTTTTATCTGAAGTATTTGATGCACGAGATATTGTAGTAAGGCTGTTGTTGCCATGGTAGACTTGGATCTGGGCCGATCGATGCTAGTCAAAGCCCACAACGTCGTTACACCAGACCGAGTTAAAGTTTGAAGGACGTCAATACCGAAATCCTGTATTGCTGACTTAAGAGTGAAGGTTCCCTTCACAGCGATAATAGAGGAATGTTGGCAGGATGACCAAGCTGAGAGCTGATTAGACCGCCAAAATTCATTGGTGGATAAGCCGGTGCTGGTAGCACCTCTTCGTTTGCGGAAGAAGTAATGCTGCTTGAAAAGAGAGCCTGGTTCTTCGTGATTCCATGTCAGCGTCATCAACGCCTGGTCGAGCTGAAGACTAGAAAGCTGCTGATTTGTGTTGAGCTGCGCGCTCGTCTGAATTAAATGAAACTCTTCGCCGAACATTAGCGTCTTATGTCTACAAAGACATATCTCTGTTGATTGATACACACTTTCGGCATTAGCGACTAATAAGTCGATCTTGGAGCGCAGGAGATCCAGCTTCTTATCTTTCTCCTGTTCATATGCTATAATTTTGGTGAGGGCGCTTGAGAGGACTTCCTGCTGGGTTTCCCTAGCTTTTCCCCCAGCTTCCAACGACGATTTGATGCTTTCCCACATAGTTGCTTGAGTGTTATGCATCGAGTGTAGTTGAATTTGTGAACAGATAGTCGAAATTTCGAGTACTTCATCTGAGTAAGTAGTGATTTGTTGCACTAGGTCTTTGTAGCGCAGTTCGTATGGACGAGTTAAGCTATGAAGCACGTGGCTGAGCTTTGATTCATTGCACCAGGAGTACGCCCAAACGAAGAACTGCAATATACAACCATAGAGGTTGTCCACTGCTGATCGCATTTGTTCCGAGGGATACAAGAGCGAAAGAGTTTTGATACGAGGGAGACGTGTCGCAATTTCATAAACGTGCTTGGCCAGCAGCCTTAAGGTCTCACCATGGTTTAGAACACCCTTTTTCTCATTGGACAAGCACTCCAAATCAGTGTATGAAAGCAAACGAGGGATGTGCGGGCTACATTCAACTCACCCGAAAAACTAGTCTCAAAGCACCCCAAGCCAACGATGCAAACTCGGCATGGTGCTGGATAAAGACGTCGAGAATAGTTCCGTAGTGGCAAAGTGTCTCGGAGGCTCTCAAGAGCCATTTCCGCGTTTTTGAGCATTCAGTCTTGCTCCGGTACTTATCTAGCGCTTCTATAATTGATTTTTCTACATCACGAATGCTAGACGCGGTCATAAGAAGATCCCTCTCGGTATCGGTCAGTCGTCGATCGTTCAAGAAAAAGGCTCTAGTTTTTTCAAATGCATCAGCCGCAATTCTTGATGAGCCTGTGTAGTCTCGTGAGTTCACTGCCAAAATTTGCAACAAAATATCATGGTGAGAGAAATTACCCGAGTTATGGAACTCTTTGGGGATATTGTTCCCTGTTGCGTTGCTCATTGTTTATTGGTCTCAACTGACGGATAAGAACAGTTCGTTCTGGGGTAGAAAGTGACTCATATGTTTAGGACATGGTTCACAGAGCAGTCCGTGAATTGAGGACATAGAAATAAAGGGGCCTGAATAGTAAACCTGCCTTCAGCCGCAGTGACGTAGCAGTCTGCTGACGTGTTCTACGTTCAATGATTGGATGGTCCTCATGACTTGCATATGGCGAAGCTGAGTCAGAGTTGTACTGCTGAGGCTGGGCATCTCTCAAAGCCCCAGGGGTCAGCTCAGCCCAGTTTTTCGAAGTCGACCCCTCCCGGCCATCGCTCCTCTCCTTTAAAGCTTCTACCACTAAAATGGGCCTTTAATCGGCTAGATTCTTCTTACATTTCTATGCTCAAATGAATATAGGGGAAATTGATGCAGTAGAACGAGCGGGGTTCATTCACCACGTCCCAGTAGCATGCTCCGCCCTCGACGACTCGCGCCTCCCACCAAATGCAGCGATCTACCAAGTCCTCCGCTAGGGCAAGAGTTGTAGAATACACCATTTCTGAGGACAATACAGGATCAGCCAAGCCAAAACTTGAGGCTATCAGGGGAGACCAAATCGCCAAGTCTGCAAATTCCGAAAACCACCCCGCAGATTCCGAGATCGACCTTACTCAAACAACTAGTAGCAACCCCGAGGGCCCAGACTATCAAATGCAACTGATGCTCCTGGAGCAACAGAACAAGAAAAGACTTCTCCTTGCTCGCCAGGAACAAGACAGAATTGCAAGCAAATTGGGGGCAGGACGGGTAACACCATCCCCAGATTCATCATCTCTACCAGTGAAAAATTCATCGCGACGGGGGGCTTCATCTGGAAACACCATCAGTGTCGGTCAGACCACCTCGGAATTTTTTGACTGGGATAAATGGGCAATGGAAAGAACGCTGAGTCGTCTTCCTTTCTCCGGTCAACCTGATGTTAGCGAAATGTCATCAGGCGATACCACGTCGTTGCGCCAATTGGAAAAGGCTCAATCACAACACAAACACAATTCATTCACTCTAACACCCCAGTTTCGTTCTACGGAGTGGTCGAAGCCAGTAAGAAGCTCGGAAAATCTGGCACACAACCCCCCCAACATGGAACCCGGAAGAGCGACTTCAGAGTCTAGGGATTTTGATAATAGGGCGCTTTCGGTCAATGCTGGAAGCTCTGGGGAATGGCTGACAGGCACTCTATCTACTCATAGCCATGCTGTCGACTCCTATCAGCTGCAGCAAATGGCTTTACGTATCCAGGAACTGGAGAGTCAACTGAGTCAGTTTCACTCTCCCCTGAAAGAGCAAATTGAAATGAATGTTCAAGTCTTTCATTGCCTGGAAGATGTAAATGAAGACGGTCCTTTTGTCAAGGGCATCTATCTCTCGGAACCAGAATGGGAAATTTATGAAGAGTCCATTCGGCTCAAGAGCCATTCCCTGATCCCGGATGCAGACGCCTACATCAAGAATCGCAACGCCGTGTTTGTCATCTACCACTACTATGATGAAAACAGACAGATAGAAGATGTTCATAGGGCACTGAATGCGCATGAGCTGATCCCCAGACCCAGATCATACAGGCAATCTGTTTCAATTACTTCCAAGGAAATGAGGGAGTCAATTGAACTTGCTTTCAAGAAACACTGTGCTGAATTCCAGTCGGGCAACATCACAGTTTTAGACTCCCCTTTTAGCTGGTGGTATCATGTTCGAGGATGCCTAGATTTTCAGCATCTTTCACATCGACAAGCACAGTTAGTTGGAAGACTAACTGAATGGATCGAACTGACTTATGGGACGCTATATGACCGAGTCAAGGACCAGCTCCAGAGAGGAATGGTTTCCAACATGTCCATGCCGTATCTTATAAAAGTAGGCGATGTTCTTGTGTCGGACATCGAACACTCACCAAAGGGCAAACTCGCAAAGTCCAGCCCAAGTCCGTCGGAGGGCATATACCATGACGATGAATCAATGCCCAGGCAGTCGTCAAAAAGCGAACGAAAACAAATAACTATATGGAGCATCACAGTTCGATCATACCGCTATGCTCAAGACTTTTATTGGGACTCTGAGACGCTTTCGATACAGTTGCCTGGGGCGATGACGGAAAACATCGAGATTGAGATTGCTAATTTGAAAGCTGTGCCACTTCAATATGCTCCCACCGAAACTCGTGACCTCCTTCACAATAGAGGTGAAACCTTCTGGAAGTGCCGGAGAAGACGACTTGTTTCCTACGAGCAGGAGCGAAAAGATGGGGCACATGCGGTGAGTGGTTCTACAAGTTATGGGCCCCAGCTCGATTAACTGACCATCAAGCAAAGCGATGTGTAGTGGACTTTAGCACTTACATGGAGCTTCATCCTTTTCAACAGCACACACCCAGTGGGTTGGACGGATCCATGAAGGTCAAAGATTTACCAAAGGACGATACCCCCCCAGACGCACCCGGGATTTATCTTTTCCCAAGAATCATTCCTGGGTTTGACTTGCGGACCAAAAAATGGAGTATGCATATTGAAACCTTCTCTGGGATTACCTTGAAAATTTGCTAATCCGCTTCTTGTGAAAATTAGTTGACTTGAACACCGACAGGATCCGAGACGTAACCTGGAACGACAAGGCATTCAAAAGCCTCGTAGCCGACGAAGATATGAAAGAAGTAATACTCGCCCTTGTGACCAACCAGCTTGAGTCCGAAAAGGGTACAGATTTAATCGACAACAAAGGGAACGGCCTCATTATGCTTCTCCACGGGCCACCAGGTACCGGTAAGACGTTTACAGCAGAGTCTGTTGCTGAGATTGCAAAGAAGCCACTATATGCCGTGACATGTGGAGACATTGGCACAAAACCGGAGCAAGTTGAGAAGTATCTTCAGTCAGTTTTTTATCTCGGGAAAATCTGGAATTGTGTTGTGCTTCTCGACGAAGCTGAGGTGTTTCTTGAACAGCGCTCCTTGCAAGATCTTGAGCGGAACGCTCTGGTGTCGGTGTTCCTACGATCTCTGGAATATTATGATGGCATCTTGATACTCACAACAAATCGCGTTGGCAGCTTTGATGAGGCTTTCAAATCGCGCATTCAACTAGCGTTGCGGTATTACGCACTGGAAGCTGGCCAGCGCAAACAGATCTGGCGCAATTTCTTCCATAGGCTCGAAGAACTGGGAGAGGATGTCAGTATCGATTTCGATGATATCCGGTTGCATATCGAAGAGCTGGCAGACTATCCCATGAACGGGCGACAAATTCGAAATTCGATCACGACAGGCCGTCAACTCGCCAAGTATATGAACAAGAAGATGACCTTTGCTCACCTGAAGAAGACAATCACTCTCGCAAACAAATTTGATCGATACTTGGCAGATGTTCGTGAGACAGAGGTGGAGGAGTCGACAACCAGGGGTGTAGATGGAAGATACACTGATGAATTCTGGGCTCGCAGTGACGGAGTGCGCTAAAGATGCAGCTTTCAAGCTCTCTTTTATAACAGTCTATAGGCGTTACACATCCAAGGTCTCGCTGAAGCTCAAGTAGCGATGGTGGACAGTGCGTGTAACTGGTGTCTAGAAGCCTGAGATAATTAGAAGTTGATACTGATAAATTGAAGTCAAGTACGTGGAAGCAGACTATTAAAAACATGGCATGTATTGAATCTAGAATACACGTATCCGACGAATCTTTGCCCTCTCATCTACAACAGGTCTGACACTAAGGGACCTCAAACGGCGCGCCGCACTGCCGACAGTCAAAGTCCTGGCACGGATCTTCCTCGGCATCACCGCGTCCACCCTCAAATGTATACTTGAGACATCCAACTTGGCATGTTCCGCCGACTCCCTGATTATTGCCTAAGAGATATTAGTTGGTTCGTTTCTTGCAGTTAAGAAAAGGAAGTGACCTGAAGACTACTCACACTTGGTAAAGTCCTCTCGTACCAGAAGGTACGTGGTGATGAGGCTGGGCGAGCCCAGCGGGAATCCAAAGCTCTGCTTGTCGATGGTGGTGACGCAACCGGCAACCCACTCGGCCTTGAACCAGTAGTTGATGCCGTGGCCGTCCTTCTTGCGGAGCTCCCAGGGCGAAGAGTCGGGCCCGATGGAGTCGTCTGCGACACCGCCTCGCAGATTACTGAACTCTGTGGAGAAGTCATCTTGAGAGTCGGGGTTGATGTCGCCGTGGCCGGGGAAATCAGCCTCGTCAAAACACTGGATGGGGCCTCGCTCCAGCGGCGTTGTGGGCTTGGTGTCACCGGTAGTCGTAGACGACGTGCTGCTGGAGATGGTGGTCGTGGGCGCCAGGTAGTCATCCGAGTTGGGGTCCTTGGGATCGTGGAAGCCGGGTGGAGGGCCAGTCGGAGTCGGCTGGCACCAGTAGCCAGAGCAGATGGTGCCGCCGCAGGCCGTGGTTCCATCTGCACATGTTGGTCTTGCGGCCGAGCCTGAGGTCAAGGAGATGGTCGTCCCGCCGACGCTGCTCTTCTCGCGGCTCATTTCTGACCGTAGAGCGGCGAAGGCCTGGATCGTCCAGTCCTCACCCAGCGTCTGTGTTGCCCAGAGCTCCTCGGTCCAGGTGCCGATGGGGGCCGCTTTCTGGTCTCCGATGACATCCGTAGTTTCATCAGACACGGTGATGGAGCAGCCGGTGATGGTCTCACACAGCGTCGTCGATGACGTGGTTACGTCGTCCGACACGTAGTTGGTCGTCGTGCAGGCCTCGGCTGTCTGCTTCTCATAGTCCGGCTCCGACTCGGTCGTGAGCTGGCGGTCCGGCCCGATAGTGAATTTGGGCCAGTTGGGCAGGTTCCCACGCAAGGTGACACCGGGCGGGGGGTGGATGATATTGGTCGGAGGAGGCATCGGCCCGTAGATGCCCGCCGGCAGGATCCAGTACCAGGAACGCACACGGACCTGCCCCCACGAGATGCAGAAGAAGAAGAACCAAGACGCGCAGGGCACGTGAACACCGTCATCGTCAGGTTCAGGCTTGTCGCGCTCCTGCTCCTCGGGCTCGATATGGCCGTACGGTGGCCAGCGAGTGAACACTGGAAGAGGATCAGGGGTAGGATCGGGAGACCCAGTCGTCCAGGCTGTGACCAGCGAGCAGTCGACAGTGGCCATGGCAGTCGCGGGTCCCAGGAAGGTAAAGACGCGGGTCGTCGGACAGGCGAAGTTGAGTGTGCGGTGGGCATCGTCAGTACATGTTGTGCCGACGGCGATCCGGGGTGTCGCAAAGACAATGGACGTCTCGGCAGGGCAGTGGATGGTAATGGCCGCAGTCGAGCCTGGGAACGTCACCGTCGTCACCGTGGCCCCGCCTACTGTGACACGGCTGGTTACAGGAGTGTAGTATGTCGTGTTGGTGGCCGGTCCGCTGTTGGATGGCAAAGTGGCTGGGTCTATATAGCTCATGGATGGGCCACCCTCAATCTGAGGCCAGGGAGGCAGGGTGATGGTCCTCTCTGTCGAACTGCCCTCGCCGTCGGGCAGTGTCACCACAACAGGATCAAGGTCCACGCTTGGGAAGACGGTGATGGGCACTGTACCAGACGATGTCACGTTGACATTGGAGTGTCCGATGCCATCGATGACGACAGAGGGAACGGAAATAGTCACGGTTGTAGTCGAGGTCTCAAAGACGGTGGTTCCCACCCCGCCAATCGTGTTGCTGTGGAAGCCTCCATACTTGAGGGATGCTGTAAAGCTAGTGGGCCGGATGGTGGTTGATCCCACCGACCTGGTTGGGATAATGAGCTGACAAGAGTTGCTTGGGCAGCTCACCGTGGGCGAGATCCAGATCTCTGTGCCAACCCACACGATGTCGAGGTGATCGAACCCGGGAAACGGCACCTAGACACTGACCTCTGTGGTGAAACCGCACTGGTTGTCTGCCTGGGGAACACTTGTATCGTCGATACCGCTGGCAATATTGATGGTAGCCACCGTGAACAGGTTGAAGATGACAACGCCGGTCGAGCCCTTGACCTCGAGGATGCGGTCCTGACAGTTGTGGGTGGGGATACAGTCCTGATCATACCCGTTAAAGAGGCTATACAGCCCGGCCGAGTAGATCATAACGTCCTGGGAGTTAATGATCTGCATCCCCCAGGCGTAGTTGCAGCGATCCCCGAGCTATGGACTCGAGGAGAATGGCTGGGCGTCATTTTTCGGCGACCATGCACGAAGGTAGCATGCGATTGCCGTAGCTCGCAATGCAAGATGTGTTGGCAAATTACACTTTTGATGCAGTAGGCCCGCATGAAATAGGCCAGTTCGTAGCCACCGCCATCGGAGGTGCTTTCTACAGTGACCTAATAGGCCAGAATCTGATGGAGGCCATCTTGAATGCGCCCTGAAGTTCAGCTGAGGTTCGCGGATGCTGCAAAGATTCACCAGTATCTATGCCGTCCCATGTCCCCGAGCGAGGACCGCAATGACCTGTTGATCCGGCGTCCAGATTTTATGAAGAGACTAGACGAGCTCCCGCAACGCCGATGACGTATCCCTAATTTCAAGGAAGGGGAAACAAGGGGGGAATTAGAAGTTAATTACATACCCTTGTTCATACCAGTTGTCTAGGCAAATTTAGGTTGCTACCCTATACCCATCTCAAGGGGGACGAACCATTTGAGAGAATACGGCATCGACATAGAAAAATCAAATAGTGTTCTTATAAATTAAAACAGTACCAGCTAGTTTCAAACACCTTACTCTATATTAGCACTGGTTCATCCTACTCCTTTTGTGCAGAAAAGATCTGGTTGGGTTATATGCACGATGATCACCACGCATAATTAATCCGTACCAGGGAGAGGACACAGGGTTCAATGTCAAATAACTCGTCCAATGTAATGTAAAGATATGACGATTCGCCACAGCTCGAGATTAACAATTAGAGCGGAATTCAAAACATTTGTATTTCCTATTATCCAAAGAGGATTTATGAATAAGTTATTCATGCAACGGGAGGGGAAGACTAGCACGTGATTTTTCATGTGAAATGGATACCATCGCCACAGAAGACTCGCCTTGACAGTTCTGCTACAGTGGGGCGACACCCCCACGGTAGGTAATTGTCAGTGCTCCCTTGCTCGGGCAAGTATGCCCTTGTCTCGACTGCTAAATCATAAGCTTAATGTTTTAAAATAGGCGCTCACTTGCTATACCTGTGCATTAGAACATAGCACACACTACGAGAATGAACAGAACATGATACATGTGGTGGTCCCCTTGTTCAATTGATTAAGTACGAGGAAGCGAGCTATGGAATCAAGATTGGAGCAGACAGCTATTGGGATTGTCGCGATCTGCCGGAGCTAGGACAAAAGATGCGGCATTATAGCAAACTGCCTACCAAGGGGAGGGAATTATCTCATCGAAACCTGGTATTATGTCACTGATGCTACATTTTCTTTTGGAATTATGACTAAATACGCGAGTCTGGCCAATGAACCGTTGCAACGATCATCTCGGTGCGGCTAGAACAGGAAGGACGGAGGAGATTGATAAGATTGATTGATAAAAATCCGACACTAATACGAGCCAAGGGTGCAGATCTCTGCAGATCTTATCCTCCGCCATCAGTGCCGACCAGCATGTTACAGTTTGGTTTCCTGCAAGCGAGCCAAAACGTCGATGAGGCGGTCATGAAGGGCCAAGTGTGAAAAAGACGGTGGTCCGAAATGCGCTCATAAATAGGTAGAGAGATCCTCCACCGTTCTTTCAGTCATTACGCTATCCATTTTTCCTAGCAACCCTTTTGAGGAATCGAAGTCAATATGAGGGCAACACCTTTGGCGCTGGGCGCTATTGCTGCCATTAGTTCACAAGTTCTGGCACACCCTCACGACAATGTCCGAGCTGAGAGCAGCGAGACTGACAGCTACGATTACATCGTCATCGGGTCGGGTCCCGGGGGCGGTCCGCTGGCAGTCAATCTCGCTGAAGCAGGCTACTCAGTCCTCATACTCGAGGCCGGGCGAAATCACACAGACCAGCCTAGCCAAGAGATCCCGGCCTTCTTCGGAGAGGCACAATGGGATGAGTCCCAAGGCTGGTGGTTCTACACGAAGGACTACGATGATCAGGAGCAGCGCGCCAAGAACAGCAAGACGGTCTGGCTGAAGCCCGACGGCCAGTATTGGGTGGGATTGAACCCCCCTGAGGGCTCTAAGGAGCTCGGTATATGGTATCCCCGCGCGGGCACCCTTGGCGGCTGCGACACTCACAATGGTGGATTGACCGTGCGTCCGTCCGACTGGGACTGGGACAATATCAAGGACATTACAGGGGATGAGACCTGGGGCCACGAGTACATGCTAGAGTATTTCAAGAAGCTGGAGCGCAACCTCTATCTACCAGAGGATACTCCAGGTCACGGCTTTTCCGGCTACCAACCTGTGGGTAGGGCCAACAAGACGTTGATTGAGTCGGACAAGCAAGTGATGGCTATTGCCAAGGCCTCTGATGAAGCGCTCGGGTACTCCGAGAGGGCCAAGAGTGATGACTTTGACGTCGTTGCGAACTGGGACATCAACGAGGATCGGCCTGACCGCGACTTCCAAAATGATGTTTACCAGATCTCCTTCAAAAAGGACGAGCAAGAGAAGAGGTTTAGCGCTGGTAGTCGAGTCAATCAAGGCATCAGCAAAGGCCTCCCACTGACTGTTCGTTTCGACAGCTTTGTCACAAAGATCAAGTTGGACGGTTTGCGTGCTACTGGTGTTGAGTACCTGGAGGGAGAGGCTTTGTACCGCGCTGATCCACGGGCGGCCTCCAAAAACACCACTGGCATTCCCAGAAGCGTTACTGCAAAGCGTGAGATAATCGTTGCTGGCGGCACTTTCAACACACCACAAATTTTGATGCACAGTGGTATTGGTCCAGCTGATCACCTGAAGGAGCACAACATCCCGGTCCTTGTGGACCTCCCTGGTGTCGGTCGTAACCTGCAAGACCATTACGAAATCCCCGTTATTCACGAGTTCCCCAAAAACTTCACCTTCTTTGATACGTGTAGTGGAAGCCTCGAGGAGAACCCTTGCTACCACGAGTGGCTCCAGGGCAAGGGGCCTTGGACCACCCTTGGGTTTTACGAGTTTGTCCTGTATACCTCTAAGGACGCGCCTCGGGGCGAGCGTGATCTGATCCTGTACGGTGTCTCTGGTGTCATCTTTGGACACGTCCCACCTTATACCAATAGCTCTGAGCTCTCCAAGATCAACAACAAATACACTTATACCATTTCTGAGTCGCATCCTCGCAACAAAGCTGGGACTGTCACTCTCACGTCTTCTGATCCTCTCGATGTCCCCGAAATCAACTTTCGTTATTTCACAGATGGCGGAAAGGAAGATGTACAGGGTCTCGTTGACGGCATCGAGTTCACCAGGAAGATCTTCGACTCTGTCCCTGGCGGCACAGTAGGCGAGGTCTACCCCGGCAGGAACGTCAGCTCCCAGAAGCAGCTCCAGGACTTTGTCCGGAATGAGGCGTACGGACACCATGCCAGTGGCACAGCTTCCATCGGTAGCGATGACGACCCCCTGGCAGTCTTGGACTCTCGTTTCCGTGTTCGTGGGGTAGAGGGTTTGCGTGTCGCGGACGCTTCCGTGTTCCCTGTTACACCCGGGACTTTCCCATTGATCTCCCTCTTTATGATGAGTGAGAAGGCTAGTGCGGTGATTCTGGAAGACGCCGATAAGCTGAACTAAGTGCTCGGCAAGTAAAATGTATACGGTGTAGGAAAAATTGCATCATCTCAAAATATACAATGTATCTAGTAGCAAATCTTTCAAGTCGTTACCTAAATGAAGTAGGGTACAATGAAAAAGGCTAGATGTGTTTGCCATCTTGAAACACAAGGTCTCCCTTAATATGCTTTAACAAAGACAATCGAAAATGATAGTACATTAGATTTATGTTTACAATATCGTAAGGAATAATTCGCATACAGTGATGGAACCTAAGAATACTACAACAACGGCCGATGTAAGTAGGAGGGAAACGATGCTTTAGCATTCAAACACAGAGATCAGCTGTACAACCATGGATCCTGGAGTAGCTCCTTCGCCGTTTTTCGATCCTCTGGACGCCACTGCAGCATTCCCCCCATGAACCTTAGAAAGTCTTGTTTCTCATCCCCTTCTAAGTTCTCTTCAGACTCCCCTAGACTTGAATGTGCAGGGATCGGAACATCTGCTTTCCACTGGCCTATTGAACAATGGGGTAAGTGGCAAGGAAGAAAGGATTAGACCAAGGACGCAACTTACCATCGTCGGTGGAAAACTCGTCGCTTCGGGATCCACGCTTAATGAGGTCAAGGGGAGGCATTCCAAGCATACCAATTACTTCCGCCAAGTGTGCCCTAGTGGAATACGCGCTGTCCGTCGAGTCTACGCCATGAAACAAAAGTTCGCCTTCAAAAATGTCCCTTATCTATCACACTGTTAGCAAAACAGAAGTCCAAGAGAACAGTATTCACTAACCATGACCCCGACATTCCATATATCAATGGGATAACTCCAAGGAACCTCCAGTATCACCTCGGGCGATCGATATACGTCTGGCTGGGCATCGTGGTTTCTCTTCAAATCCCCCCTAACAGCAGCACCAAGATCACTCATAACGACGATGCCAAGATGCTTTGGCAAATGAAACTGCCTTGACTTGTAAAGGGTCACGCCTTTCACAGTTTTTCGGGCCGATGGGGCGGTCAATTCTTCTTGAACAAAAGTATCAAGAATGCTCTTATCGGCAATCCTATGCAAAATATCGTCCGCTTTGATATCTTAACAATATTCAAATACCAGGTTAGTAATTTGGTTGGCTTGTTTGCTGAATTTTGATAGATTGGGGCCTTACCTGTGTGAATAAGCTCACACTCATTGTGTAGATAATCGAGAACGCGTAGAATCTGCTGAAGGCCCCCTTTGAGCATCGGTAGATTGAAGCGACGTGTAGGGTTCCTGCGGAGAATTCTATCCAGCTGTCCCACATTGGGTTTTGGACCATGCAATGGTGATCGCCATTTGGATGCGGCAGGACAATCATTTCCCGAGCTGTTCGTAAATGATGATATCCAGGGTGAGCAGAGTCACCTTGAAGAGTCTTGTTGGATACCTCGAACTCTTCTTTACCGGTATGTCCTTGTATATGTATTTTCAGGGCCACATGGAGATGTTCTCTTGAATTGTTCTTGTTTAGCAATGCACTCACGCAATCAGAGACGAAATCAAATACGAACTGGAGATTTTTAGCCAACCATACAGTTGATGTGGACCCAAAACCCAACTTTTCCACTACCTAGTACTTTGAATGATATACATCTCCAATATCGACCGGATAATAAGCGCTAGCAGAGAACTGTTCAAGGTCCTCCTCCTCAAGAGGCTCTGATGCAGGAACGATCTCGAAGCCGGCGCTGGGAAATCGTAGAGGTGGCGATGGGGCCCTTCGTAAGGCCGATTTCGTCCATTTGAGGACAGAAGATATGAGGAAAACTAAAGAGCTGATATCAAAAGATGTTGATTATTCGTGCGGGATGTAAAAAGTATACAGGAGCATATGAGGTGATTAATGAGGATTAATCTAGTTGATGACAGTTGCGGCAAAAACAAATTCCGACCACCAAGAATGAGGCTGTGCCAATACCAGCGGAGCACTCAATGTGACTAATTTTGTCCACTCTCATCGTCGTGACACACTTGCCTGGAGAATCAAAACAAAAGGATGATACCCTATTTCCAGCCATGCTAGTGATGAATTATTCCTCTCCGGAAATTCAGAGAAGGTGAGTCTTCCGTAGGTTAGGTAGGTGGTGGAAGGCTTACTCCGTAAGTGCACAAGGGGTATTTTTCAAGTTTATCGACATTTCATGGCAGTTAAAATAAGCACAAAGAGAACGTCATAAACAATGCATCAGGTGTGTTAACAATGAGCGGATGCCTCTTGATAGTTTGAAGCCGTCTGCTCAGACCAACTAAAGTTATTCTCAAGAGTCATGGCTGATCTAATTCCTAGTCTAGTTCCGCTCTGCCTTGCCCATCCGAAAATGAAGTTGTTAAGGTGGCCTCGTATTGCTACTTTTACTTTTATTAACATGCGAGTTGATTTTCGTCGTATCGTGGGAATTTCTTTCCGCAGCAACGTTCAGATTTGAGCTGCGTTGGGTCGGCCACTAGCGGATGTTTTCGGTGATATGCCGGAGGCTACCACGCTGCTCCAAGATCTGGGAGCAAGGGTCTCACTCCCTGAAGTAGAGGCGGAGGGAGTGATGAGACTAGGAAAGCCTTTAGAGCTAGTACGTTCAGTCAGATTAGACAATATAGATACTCCCCGGTTCATTTTGGTATCTGACCAAGTAATCTTGCCCTCTTCGAGAGAAGGGACTGAAATGTCTTTCTTTGGTATGATTTCCTGATCGCCGGGATAAACAGCCAAGGCTGCGTATATATTAGTATAGGTGCTCTGGCCAACAGGCTCGTGGTACCTACTGGGTTGGTCGCTTCGAGCTTGTGCTTGGATTGGTTGATATGGTTGGATCGAAGACGAGAAGCCAGGTGAAAGAGATGGTCTTAATAGTCATTTGATAAGCCGTTATCCTGACGGTAAGTGAGTTATTCGTACGATGGTTAGAGTTTTCTGGCCGTATGACTCCTTGGGCGTACGAGGAAAGGCTATATTTTTAAGCTTTTCGTATTTACTGCGTTGAGTTGTTCCGGGCCCTGGCAGCTTTATTGTTGTTAAAGTCTATCATTCGTATTCTCCCACGCAGATACTCCCCGGTTTTTGGATATTGGGTGCTGGTCTGGCTCTCTTCATCTGCCATCTCCTGCATTTCTCTCAGAGCTTGTAATAACCGTGGTGCCTGATGGAGGTGGAAGTCGGGAACACAAATCACCAGAGTCTGCTCCTTGTATCAAGTTTTGTGCAGTAATTGGACGAAATGGGATTTGGCCTTGATACTGCTTGGTAGCACGCTGTGGTTCTTTCTGGAATACCTTTGGTAAGAAACTGGGCCTCCACCCACCAATGATGACGGCCCCTTGGCGATATGTCTCCAGTGGCATACAGACATGGTTCTTTTTCAACTCTGATGAGCGAGCTAGTCGCAAGGTATGTTGCGATATACAATCCACGCTAGAGTTATGGTCCGGATGCAAGTGCTCAAAGGCCTGGCTTGGCCATTGTAAAGCAAGTCCAGAGCTGGTCAGCTTCTTCTGGTCACGGAGGGAACCCTGCTTGTTGAAGAGGTTGATCAAGGTGTCGACGCGCACACTCAAGTAGCATTCGTCCCTAGGGAGTGATGTCAACGCGGGGCATAGACCATCTTGTGTTGCTGGCTGAAGCAAATCCCCGAATTCGGCCCCGAATAAAACGATAGCCTTGATGTCCTTGGCAAAGTTGTTCCAGCGACCATAATTTCGCCGCAAGTCGATGGATTTTGGTTCCATGTGCCGTATATTACCCAAGACATCCATGTACTCCCATCCTGACAAAGAATGACCGGTATCAAGCTTAAGTTTTAGAAACGCCTTGCTGCTGGCACCCTCATAACTGTGCGCCCACAACCCGTCGATGGTGGTCCAAAGCAGCCTGACTTCTTCCTTGAAAAGAACGTGCTTTGGGAGGGGGCTTGAGAATTGGTGACTCACGGAGTAAAGCTTCTCAGCATTGCGCATCATGACTTCTCTACTGGAAGTAGTATTACGGTCAGGGTTTGCAAGCAGGAGCTCATCCAGCGTCGTTCCCTCTGGCTATTTACCTTTTCGTGTTAAGCTTTGCTTCCTTCGATGGTGTAGGATGTGCAGTATGAGATCTTCCGCGTTGGTTTGAAAGGCGCGGTTATGGGCTGTGTCATGTAGGATGACATGCGTACGGCTGGCATCATCTAAAAGTGAATCGTAATCGTCCGGTCTCTGGCAGCTGAAACCATCTTTCTTGCCAAGAGTGACCTCAGTGGTGAGGGTACCCCATTGACTGAAACCCAAAGTAATCTTCTCGACTTGTGCCCACCTAGAGGGACTCTCAGCATTTGAATACTGAACCGCCGAGTAATCAATGTCGGAAGTGCCTTGGAGCTGTTAGTCACATCTGTTGGAAGAGAGGTTAAACTCATCTGGATGATCCCACCTAGAAGGTCCTTGACTCGGCCGCACCACCCAAGGAACGATCGACGGCCCCAGAAATCTGGTTTTATGTCAAGGCCTTGAAGACGACCAGGACACAACTTGTCTATGTGACCCCATTCCAAGCGTTTTGGATAAGTATCAATCATGTGCCATTGGATTGAATCGCCATGATCTATGGTTGGCACTATTGCATGGCACCTCGCTTTAAGAACAATGCCCCCTCCGAAGCTCACCGCTTGGGGGACTCCAGCTAGTTGTGCCATGGTACCGATCGAGACTTCGAGGCCTTTCTCGGTATCCTTGCGATCAGGGATAGGAAAGCCGGTGATCACGATAGCAGGGCCGACCAGCATGTTCCAGCAGCTCTGTGGATCCGATATGGAGACATCCTCGAGCGCTACATCTATCTCAAACGTTGGGGCGAGCTGCAAGCTCGATTCATCCATCTCGGTGAAACTCACATAAGCGACCTTGAGAAGGCTCGTCTTCCCTTGACACACCGCCGCCAGCCATGATAGCTGTTGAGCGACTGTGATGATGAAATCTTCGGTGCCCTCCACCGTAAAATACTGCAATGTTTGGTCCAGCTTGACCAAGTTCGAGATTGCGGGAGGTTGTTGGGCTGTTGATAGCTCCTCAGCAACTAGAGACGCTTCTATTGCTCCCAAGAGCGTGGTGCTGTCATGAGGCCAGCGCCATTGTAAGTACTCATCGACCGAACATAGCTTTGCATTCTCAGCCGACCCTGTTACGCAAGCTATTTGGCCAAGCTTCTGGTGAATCCCCGCCTGGTAATTGGGCCTTAAGAAGCCCCTTAGATCCCACCCAACTTTGAGCACAATACTAGACAATCCAGTGAGGTTGCGTTCATGTCTCTCGGAGAAACGGCGAATTGCGCGTGAAACTCGATATCGAATTAGGTCCAGCTTGGGAAAATGATACTGCTCAAGTAATCTTTCTGTTGTTGCGACCAAAGTATCAAATGCCGGCTGCTGGGTGGATCTTTACAATACCTCTGCTTTGTCATCGGGGTGTGTCCTGTCCACCGCCTCTAGATCACCCCGACTTTCCAGCACAAACTCGCGTGATCCTGTCGAGCTGTCAATAGCGTTGGTAAAGCTCGACGATGAGCTTGATTCCCCCTTTGGTACAGTTGGCGCTTCCGGTTCATCATGATGATCCAGGATGACACGGTCGTTCTCGGCCATGGAAGGATCCCAATGCCCTATAATGTCATGCAAGTTCATTTCTTCAACTTTGGTGCCAATATCGATGAGGCCTTGTTTTTTTTCTGTGCTCTGTATGTTAGCCAAGAATAACCTAGCCAAGACTGACGCATGGAGCTTCCGAGCAATGTCTGCCCGCAGCCTCCGGACCAATCTCACGGCTTTTGCCTGCTCCCTAACTGATTGATCAAACTCAACGGTCTCCGCAAATGTCTTGATTGCTGATCTGAGATGAGACATAACGTGTTCGCTTATTTCTATATCTGCCGTGTCAGGACTGGAAACAGCCTGCAGATTCCTGATGATAGCTAGAGAGAGATCCTTGACCACATATTCTCGTTGCTCGGGACTATAATAAGTGGACGACTGAGTGATGATTGATACCTCATCATCGTCTCTAATATTTCGGTCTTCGACCGTGGTGGATGTCGGGTGACCAGAATCTGGTTCATTTTCTTCCGGGATAACGTCTGCTGTAATTGATTGCCCTGCGCGTTTCATAACGCTCGACGCAGTCTGCACGGTCGTCGGTGCAGTGCTGCGAGAGCTTCCGGTCGGGGCGGTAAAGAAGCTTTGGTGGGATGTATTGGTAACTGACGGGGTGGCTGTCCGGGGCGCCGATGGAACAAACGGGGATGGAAAAAACTCTCGCGGTTGGGTCTAGGCGCGACGATGGATTGGTTTTGGTCGACTCAGCATCATAATGAATAGCGGGATCATCCTCATCCTCTCTTCCAAATGATAACTGGTCGCGGGAGTCCCATGGGTCTGATGAAAGGAATGTTCCATATTCCGACAGGGCATGCTGGTCCATAAGCTCCCGACTACTTCTGCTCGAGACATTCATTTCCGCAGACGGGTCAGGGCATGGTCAAAGTTATCGTTGAGTTGAAACTGAGCAGCAGGCTGAGCGAAGGATGCCGGAGTCTAGAGTGAAACCTGAAGAAGGTCTTTCCCACTAGGATTGGTAGAGGTGGCGATTTTGTTTGTAGGAGTCAAACAAGCCGTAGGCTATGCTTGGAGTGCCTGGGGCAGTGCTACAGCTATGCAGGGGAGGGTAACAGGGCGGATCGGTTGGGCATCTGACTGAACCAAGGACCGATGCCAAGAAAATAGCATCAAGGATCAGTCTTATTAATCATCGTAGAATGGCACCAACTGGGTTTAATTCATTCCATTTTCTTACGTATTAACCCTGGCTCTAGGGACTAGTAGGAATTTTGGTTTTAAAAATCTTATGTATGGTCAGATGTAACATAACATATACCACGAACACCGAGTCTGGTATTTGTTATGACTTCAACGTTCCGAGAATAGGGTTTGTCTTCCATACAGTAGTTGTTAGTATAGCGCAATAATATCATTATGTCTCGTAAAACTAACTCTTTAATATTTCATAATAGTAACTTATGCCATTTTAGCGATAACCTGACTGTCCTTTCTATGACCCCAGTAACAAAACCTTCACCTACTTACTCGAGACCTCTGTCTAGGGTAAGCCATAATATTGAACTAAAAATTACTACAAATTATCTTGGTAAGCACCGAGACTAGATATTCATTATGTTCAGATGTCAGGTCTAGCATATCCCATTGCTCTTTTTACGTTGTACTCCAACTCTCATTAGCAACGAGAATATATGGTCGGCTGGCTAGCTGAGGGTTAAACAGCAAATCTTCTCAGTCAACGCTACATCCTCAAAAGCTTCTCCATTCATTGCGCCATTCACGTTAGCTTCGCCGATAAGCCGGTAGGTTGTTGTCAATGCCTCGTTCCCCATCACCCGACGCATGATGAAGGGTGTACTGGGGCCGTAGATTAACACCACAAGATCGCACTTCATCGTGCTTAACGGATCAAGCCCAAGTCGCCCGCCAACCGTAGAGAGGAACGTGCGTCCAGCGCAGGCCTCGGTAAAAACGCTGATGGAACTCAAAACCTTCGCCACTAGTCTTATGAGGAGCATTATCCTGCGGCAGCGACAATGACATTCGCGTCCGGCTTCCTGGGTTCATGCCCATGTGGGCGAAGTCGTACGTCGGTTCGGCCATGGTCTTGATCCCAGAACTTCCCCGAACATGCCAATACAACCTTCAAGAAAAGTTTCGGAGAGCGTTAATGTGCCACTTGATACAGTGCGACTCGCTTCTACCCTTTGGGACTTTTTTGTTTTGGACATATCCGGTTTTAGTTCATGCCTTGTACCGATGTACACTCGCAGCCGCAACCAGCCTTATGGAAGCAAGCCCTTGATGATTACATGACGGGTACTGATCCTGTAGATGTTGCGGCGGTGAAACGTATTTATTGTGTTAAGATGTTGGGGTCTGGCATCTTCCATTGCTGTTGAACTTTATACTCGATTTTCTCTTACAAGGTGGTGAAATGCAAGGCTAAATGATCAGAAATTTATTTAAGTCTCAAGAATAGTAGTCAACATGGTAGATGTGCTCATGTCACTACAAGCTTGAAGAAACTTCTTTGCTGTAGCCGTATCGATACTGTAAAATTAAGCTCCATTACCTGAAGTTTATAAATGTAAAGAAGAAAACTCCATAAACCCTTGTATCAATAACTTACCAGGTAAATATTAAGGTAAGCGACTGATGAAGAGTAACACTTATTAAATTATCTTAAAATAATAGTACAATGAAGATATAGCTTCTTCTAAAAAGCCTCTTGAATTCAGTGATGAGGTACAGCCCGTCCAACCGAATTCCCAGCCCGGCACTTAGAGACCCGAACTGAAACTTAAAATCTGAAGACTATCCTAAGGTGGGCTCCTTATAAACACTGCCGAGGTGCTAGGAGATCCAAGCTGGAAATGACGCAGGTTGCAACCCAGAAGGAGGAAGATGAAATGGCGTCGCATAGGGATGCAATTCGCCAAGCCAAGGCCATCATCGACGAGATTTGCAATGTTTCTGGGACTCCAGGCCTCGCGATCGGCATCTTCAACCTCGAAGGACCATCCGTGTCGAGCTTCCATGGATTTCGAGATGTGAGCCAAGGCCTCCGTCCGGATCAAGACACGGTCTTCAACATCGGCTCACTCTGCAAAGGCTTCACCGCTGCAGCTGTTGCCTGCCTCGTTGCAGATGGGAAGGTATCTTGGGATGATCGCATTGACACTCACCTTCATCATTTACACGGCAGAGACAATGGCGCATTCACGCTGCGAGACTTGCTTAGCCATCGCACTGGTCTTTGCAGGTCGGATGCGTTATTCATCGGATCTGACAACCGGCTACTTGTCACCAAATCCCAAGGCTTAGAGATCTTCGCCTCCCTTGATCCAAGTAGCCCTCCCCGCCAAAACTTCTTCTATAATAACTTTGGATACCACGCCCTCGGGTGCGTTATTGAGCATGTGTCAGGCACGGGTTTTGGAGAATTTATGAGGAAGCGCATCTTTGAACCACTAGACATGAGCAGGACGTTCACGAAGCTTCCGCCTAAGGATGATGGAGATACTTCGTTAGCTTATATGCCTTATTATAATCGCCAGCTTCGGACAGTTCCAACCCCTCAAATATCCAGTGACACGGTCGCCTTCGCAGCTGGCTCCATTCGAAGTTGCGTCCGCGACCTCGTCCGCTTCTATCGTTTTTTGTTGAGAGGCTTGAAGCTGGGCTTTCAGGAGCTGGGTCTTTCCTCTGATCATGTTGCAACTATATTTGGGGCGGTCATCCCTCTACATGGTTCTCCTACAACTCTTCGGGAAAGGTCCTATGCTATGGGGTGGGCACGTACTCAGCTACCAAACAACATCAACCTCATCAGCGGAAATGCTGGCTTGCTGGACACATGGCCTGTCATTGGCACAACCAACAATGGAAGACTTGTCCTCCACCACACTGGTAATAATATTGGATGCTCTTCCACCATCTATCTCCTTCCAGAGATGGATACTGGTGTGATTGCCTTGGGGAATGCACTCGGGCATTGTGACGCTGCCGATTGGGCTGCACAGGTTCTGCTCGAAGCTCTTCTTGAAGGATCGATTGAGAGTCCGTTCACAAAATATGCTACGACGGCAGCTTCTAATGGGCGGTCCGCCATGGATCGAGTACAGAAAGCCCTAGATAAGCAGAGAAAACCAAGTCAACCATCTTTAAACCTCGAGCAATATACTGGCGTTTTCTGGCACAAAACAAAGACGTTTTATCTGAAGATAAAACTCCAGACATTCGAACATAAAGAAGGCATTAGTGTCAAGTTCCAAGGGCTAGATGAAGAAGAGTATACTCTCCATCACTACCACTATGACACATTTGTCTTTAACGAGACATTTGACCAGACTGTGAGCCGTGGTCAGTGGTGCAGGCCGTTGGGTTTCTATAAAATTGAATTTATTGAGGAAGGGAAGACCGTTAGCTCGTTGCGATGGACGTTCGATGATACGGAGGTACAGGGGCAGATCTTCAAGCGGTTGTAAGCCCGTTGGCTTCTATCTTAACTCAGCTCGCCAGAGAGGGTGCTGGAAGAAACCACATACCGAGTATATTCCTCTATTGTTCTAATTTTCATATTCTTGCGTTGTATGCTCATTACAGGCATGAAAGCCACACGGGTTAATCCGAGCAGTGAGACTAAGGGAATCGACTTGGTCGACCACTCGCTAGTTCTTAACTATCCACGATTGACGAACCCTTGACAGCCATTATTGGTGTTGAACCTTAGATACGACCGGCATAGCTGGGCATAAGGCTGAAGTTTAATGTGTTGTGATGCCTGGGTATAGTATCAAGTTATCAAATTACTAGTATTTTGGAAACCCCC